GTCCAACTCTAAAAAAAAATAAATAAATAAAAAATAAAAAAATGGAGGGAGGGAATAACTGCACACATATATCTGATGATTGTGTAACAGGATGTTCAGCAAGGTATTTACCAGATATGTTCAGGAAAAGAATAATCATAAAATTAAACATGGTGGTGATAGGGTGAAGCCTGGAAGACTTGGCATAACTAACAGAGCCATGAAATCTGCTCTTTACCAGAAACCCTAAAGGGCAACGACTGGCCAAATCATGACCTTAAGTTAAAACAAGTTTGAGTTATGGACATGAGCAATGATCCAGAGAAAAAAAGAACAGCAAATCCAACTCTGAATAGCTAAGAAAAAAAAAAGGGGTTGAACTGACCTAATTAAAGCAGGAACTCAAATCATTAAAGCTTTGAATAGCCAATTTGACATTGAAAATGTGAAATAATGTAATTTAGCACTTACCAGCCGCCCCAGAAAGCAGACACTGTAGATTGATTGGAAAAATACTGACAGTTTAGATTACGATCAAATCAATCACTCCTTGTAGCCCCTGTGAACCTCCATGTGTTTCTTCAGATTTCCAAGTCGGGAAAACGCTTTACTGCAGACGGTGCACACAAACGGCTTCTCACCTGAATGCACTCTCATGTGATTTTCGAGCTGACACTTTTGATAAAATCTGGTTTTGCAGACGTCGCACCCAAACGGCCTCTCCTCCGAGTGGACCCTGACATGCCGCTCTAACTGGATTTCATTTACAAAACACTTGCTGCAGTCCCCACAGCTAAACGGAGCGGTGTGAACCTCCATGTGGTTCTTGAGGTGATGTTTCAGAGCAAACCCTTTGCTACAAACGTTACACATGAACCGTTTCTCTCCTGTGTGAACATGCATGTGTCTCTTCAGAGTTTCTTGTCGCGAAAATCTTTTCCTACAAACGCTACACACAAAGGGTTTCTCCGCCGTGTGAATCCTCATGTGCTTTTTTATATTCTCCTTTCGTTTGAATCTGGTGCCACAAACGTCGCAAGAAAACGGCTGTTCTACTGAGTGGACTTTCAGGTGTGTTTTTAGTTTTGCTTTTTCGTGAAACCTTCGACCACAATTGTCGCATGCAAATGGTTTCTCTCCTGTGTGGAGTCTTATATGTGTCCGAAGAGAACTCTTTTCTTTAAACCCTTTCCCACAAAAATCACAGATATGTTCTATATTGCCATTGTGTGTCATTAGGTGTAATTTAATGGAAGTCAAATGTTTTAATCTTTTGCCACAAATTTTGCAACTAAACGGCTTCTCTCCTGCATGGACTCCAATCTGAGCCATAAGTGTTGAATTCAGCTTAGATACTTTACCTTTTTTGGGAACCAACATCTTACTTTGTTGAGTGGAACCTGTTGGATCCGGGTTGTTGTCAAGTTCTGGTTCTCTACAGTCCTTTCCATTAGGTTCTGTTTTTGTCTTAGATGAGCTGCTGCTTGAAGCCTCTAATAACTGAGATTCCTCTCTATTTTCACTCTGCAGCTCTCCATCCTCATTGATCCACAATTTGTTCACTTCCTCCTTCATACCTGGGGTCTCTGTGTCCTCTTGGTCCAAACTGGGGTTCCAGTCATGAGGAACCTCTTCTTTAATCACAACAATCTGCTGGACTTTGGACACAGAAACACATTAAGGGTCATTTATACATATATATTCAGCATTGATATAAACTGTTATGTTTAGAAATGTGAGGGTTTTTTTTTTTTAGCTTATTTATTTTGAGAATAAAATGACTTAGTAGACCAACAAACCAATAAGTTTAACAGAAACGGAACCAATTATCCAAGTAAAACAACTATTAAAGTCCTCAGTTAATAGCAAAGAAATTTTCTTTCTTAAAGTTGAAAATAATCAAAATCTAGGTTAAAGATGACTGGAAATATGCATTATAAAAAACTCTAAGAATTGAATTTGTCATTTTCCACACACACACACACGCATATATATATATATATATAAAATCAACAAGTTAGTTCAAAGTGCTTTAAATCATAAAAAACACAAAATTCAATTACAAGTTAGAGCACATTCACTTACTGATATCTTTGCTGTCTGGTGTTTCCTCCTCCAGTTCTGATGTGGATTCTGCAGAAATGAGGGGCTCCAAGCTAATCCCTCCAGGTTCAGCTGCTTCAACCTTTATTATCTCAGACATCCTCGCTCCACTTCAGATTCTCCTTTTCACAACCCTTGTTTACAACCTTCACATGTTCTTTTAGAGCAGGGTTTCAGTCATAGAGCGGGCATCTTTAGGTTGTTTTTTTTTTCTGCTGAAACTAGAATCGGAGACAAGAATGTGATCAAACAAAGTGTATAATCATAACATGTAAACTGTGGCACAGCTGAAGCGGTGCTGCAGAGGAGAGAGTCCGATACCTTGGTTAGTGCTTCTGGGTCCACTCGGTAACTGTCTCCAGTCTCTCGGTCCTCAGATTAACATGGTTAGAAGGAGGTGTCCACAAATGATGTGGTCTTCTCCGCACGGTGTCATAAACTCAGAGTGTGGACATTCTTAAACACTAAACTATAAACTGAAAAAGCTCGACTGCCGACTAATTAAATCTCCGCTGTTAGCTGCTTTAGATCCGCGGAAGCTAACGGTTCATTCAGGTACCCAGTAACGGCTAATTGCATCCTGTGCTGCAAACTCCGACTAGAAATAATCAGAGCGACTCAAAACAAACATTTGGAAGCGGTCTCTTTATGAAGACTATCGAGCAGAGTCTGAATAATCAATTTTACACTTCTTTAACATAAACTTTACAACGTTTTTTTTTTTTCTAGCAGGACTTAGCTACGAGCTAATATGACTACATCCGGTTTCTCCCTCCTTGCTGACCAATCAGCGGCAACTAAAGCTCAGCATGATGTGAAAAACAACTTCCTCTTTCAGCTTCTAGCCCTTCAGACAAAACACTGAATTCACGCTCCGTTAAGCATCTGTGTCAAAAATGGTCGTTGTTTGAGTGCTGACTTTTTCAGCTCAGTTTTAATGTTTCAGGTTGGAGTCGAGGCTCAGCTATCTGCTGTATATATACTCAAGCAGCTGAAACCATCCTTATTTTGACCAGAAACACTTTTAGGCAACATCCCAGAAGTCAACAAAAAAAAAAAAAATTCACGAATTAATTTAGTCTGAGTCTGATCTCACACACTAATGAACCTCCATAACATCTTGTCTGCCGGAAATAAAGTGAGTCTGTATTTTTATTTCAGTATTTTGTGTTTAATTGACGGGATTTACAGAAGATGATTACGGCTACTGGCAAAAAACAACAACAACAAAAACAAAACAAAACTGAGTTTAATCTCAGAATCTTCGTTTTTCTGTGATTTAAGTCAGTTCCCCCCGCCTCCCCTGATAGCCCTAATCATCTTCCATAGATTTTCTCCATTTTGGAACCTGAGTAGATTGCCATTGAGAATTTTTGTTATTTTGAGACACAATAAATTTAAATAAATGTCTTCATGGTTTTGATGAGCTGTCTGTCATATGTTAGAAAAAAAAATAAACCCAATGATGTTGATAAACAGGAAGTTACAATGAATTTTATTGATACCTTGTTTTTGATTTTGTTATTTTTGTTGCCAAATCTATGTTTCTTCCAATTTCCTGACACCTAGGCAAAAGCTAACTTGATGTTTATATGAGTCGATTTTAAAATAAACCTTGTTTAAAACTATCACCTGCCTTTTTTATATTATTAAACATCTCTGGTGTGACTAGGACAAAGTTATATACATTTCCCCTGTTCTAAACATCCAACAATGTGACTACAGACTGCACAGGTTTTGCTAAAATCAGACATACTATCCTTCTGGCTTCAAATATGTGGCAAAGCTTCAGAGATAGATTTATAATTCCCCTTCAGGATTTAAAACGTGACAAGGTCAAAAGGAACAAATACAAAGAGCCACAATCCCAACACACGTCATTGCGAAGGTGAAAGTTTGACACTTTTACCACCAGAGGGAGCCATTTTGACATAAATGACAAGAAAATTTTATTTTTGTTTACTTTCAACTGTTGGAATTATTCCACATAAAAGTTGACAACTAAAAAAATACATTTGATATTTATGTTAACTTCATTTTGAGGTAAAATTAGATAATTTAGGGTCAATAATTGTATATATAGAATGTCGTTACCAATTAATTTATATTTTTGGAAATTATCTAAATAAAGAAAAAAGCAAAACATTCTTTGAAATTAAAATGTTTTCAGGTCTTGTGCATTTGCTGCAGAGATATCTAATTCTGTTAGCTGGTCTGTGGTGACCACAGCCCTGCAAGAGGAAGATTCTTATTTCTGTGTTTTCACGGTTCTCTCTGTCCCTTTCATCAGTAATGTTGATCACTAACCTCATTCGGCTCAGATTCCTCCCTAATCCAGGTGTCCAGGCTTCTACAGTGAGCCAAAACTTAGTTTAGTTCATACTTCTTCTCCTCTTCATCAGTATCACACTGCAGATTACAATCTACTGTAATCTGTTCAGACCAACACAGATAATGTCATTAAAGTATGTCATTATAGGTAATCCTGTCAAACAAGTAAAATCTAAAATTTAAATTAATCTATCGTTGCAATAAAGTAATGCAGCAAAGATTTAGCCTGTAAGTCAGAAAATAAAGGCTACAAAAAAAATCAAATTAAAGGATGAAAACACTCAGTCAGATTGATTATCTTGATGGCTTTGGTATTCGAAGTCACTCTGAAATGGGATTTTAAGACCTTAATGGTTCTTTCCTGCCGACTGTACATTGGTTCAGACCTCTCAATTTAGAAGCATGGATAAAATCTTGTAAATAAAAAACAAAACTGCGGGGTATTCGCAGCTTGCAGCTTGAATTTTAGCTAATATACATCCTCAACAAAACATGTCACATACACACTGAATTTATAGTTATATTTGGAAATTTGTTAAACTATGTAGGACACGCAGGCCCGATTCACAAGAAACTAGTCACGTCAATACAAACAGCTTTGAAGCACTTTTATTAGATTAGTTTGAACATATTTTACAACAGCACCGCTTTTAGCACAACATGTTTCTCCCAGATTACATGAACATTTTCTATTGTTAATCAAGACTAGAATGAAAAATACAGCTGAAGTGAATAACTACCAGCAAGAAGTAATACGGGTAACGTTAGAATCTGGTATCCACCTTTTATTTTGTACAAGTGTCTGAAGAAAAGTGCACTGTCCTGTAGTCGGGTAAATACAATATGTTGATATAAAGCTACAAACCACAGCTGTTAGTTTCTGAAGAGAGCTCTGACAGAGCGATGGACCGTTTGAAACTAGGATTAACCGTTTGAGGTGGCATTGAGGTGATTAGGCTCTAAACAGTTCTCATTGGTTGAACATTGCCAACATTACTTGTTTATGAAAATAATGATGAATGTGACAAAAGTAAACAAATAACTGACTTTTTATACCGAAATGCCACCCATACCACTTTAGTGATTGAACCTAAAGCACCATTAACCAACCAAAACCTTCCAGCTTTTCCAAACATGGAAAGTTGGAAAAGTTGTACTGAGTGGTTCATATAGACTATTAATACATTTGATGGTTTGAATAGTAGCTACCTAACAAAACAATTAGTCAGTTGTTCTGCATTTGTTTTCCTTGTTTCCCTGTACACTCGCAAGCAGAAATAAGGAACACTGGCAAAGTTAGCTTCTGTGGTATTGCTAAAATGGTTTCCAATGAGTGCATTAATGCATTTTAAGGTGTATTTGGTGTTTGAACTCTTAAAATAGGCAGTTATGCATGAACATGCATGTGACTTTTCAGATGAATTTTCAGAGAAAACCCTTCATTACAAACATTACAAACAAATGGTTTTTCACCCGTGTGAACAGACATGTGTCTCAGTAAGTTCTTTCGTAATGAAAATCCTTTACCACAAACGCCACAAATAAACGGTTTCTCTCCCGTGTGAACGCGCATGTGGCTCTTTAAAGTGTCTTTTTGTGGAAATCCTTTACTGCAAACACAACAAATAAATGGCCTCTCTCCTGTGTGAACTTGCATGTGTCTCTTTAGATTCCCTTGTAGTGAAAATTCTTTACTGCAAACATTGCAAACAAATGGTTTCTCACCTGTGTGAACACGCATGTGTCTTTCTACATTCTTTTGAACAGCAAATTCCTTATTACAAACACCACAAACAAACGGTTTCTCTCCAGTGTGAACATTCATGTGACTCTTTAGATTTCTTTGCCGTAAAAATCCTTTGCCACAAGCACTACAAATAAACGGTCTCTGTCCTGTATGAACATGCATGTGGCTCTTTAGACTCTCTTTTTGTGAGAACCCTTTACTACAAACTGTACAAATAAACGGTTTCTCTGTTGCATGAACACACATGTGACTTTTCAGATTGACTTGTTGTGTAAATCCTTTACTGCAAACACTACAGATAAATGGTTTTTCTCCTGTGTGAACACCCATGTGTCTCTTTAGATGGTCCTGTTGAGAAAACCTTTTACTACAAATACTGCAAACAAATGGTTTCTCTGAGGTGTGGCTCCTCATGTGTTTTTTAAGACTCTCCTTCACCTTAAATCTATTGTTGCAAACATCACAGGTAAAATGTTTTTCTTCTGTATGCAGCTTCATATGGGCTTTAAGATGTTTCTTTGTATGAAACCTTTTACAACAAACGTCGCAGGCAAAAGGTCTGTCTTCACTGTGGACACTCATATGAGTCTGAAGAGAAACCTTTTCTTTAAATTCTTTATCACAAAGATCAAAGCTATGTTCTCTTATTCCAATGTGAGTCATTATGTGTAATTTAGCTGATGTCTTGCGTTTAAAACCTTTGCCACAAAGACTGCAACTAAATGGGTTTTCCACAATCTGAGCGGTAAGCTTTGAACAAAGCTGAGGTGTCACCTTACTTTGTTGGGAAGAGCAACAAAGAGCAACTGGATCTCTGTTTGTTTCCCGTCCTCTGAAGTCCTCTTCATCATGCTGTGTCTGTCCCATCTGTTCAGCTGAGCTGCTGGCAGGAGCTTCAGTCTGTCTGCTATCTTCAGGTTTTATTTGGTGAAGTTCTGATAACGGAGTTTCTTCTTCATCTTCGACCTTTACTGTAAGCAGCTCTTCCTCCTGTCCGATCCACAGTTCCTCCTCTTCATCCTTCACAGAAGGCGACTCTGGATCCTGCTGCTTCAAACTGGCGTTCCAGTCAAGAGGAACCTCTTTAATCACCAACATCTGATGGACTGGGAACAATGAAACACACAAGGACATTAGTGATAAACTAAAATCCATTGAAGAACAACTGTAGTAGCTTTTTTTTTTTACTTTTTTTTATAAAAGAGAAAGAATAAGTTAATCAACATATAATCGAGTTAAATGGTCAATGCCAATCCCAAAATGAGAATGAAAATGACCATATTTTTATCAGTTCAATAAATGCAGGCCAAATAAGCTTCATTACTAATTCATATGAAACTAAGCAGGATGTACTGACTGTTTCCTCCGACAAAACATGGTCTGCATTTAATAGGCTGCTGGGCTGACATGTCAAACTACTGCCCTACAGTTATTGGTGGATGGCTATTCTCAGAAGTCTTAGTTTCCAAAAGAGTTGTTCATCAAAACAATGTAAATGAAACGAAATCAGACTCGTATAGCGCTGCTTTTCAGGACTCTAAAAGACGCTTTGCAATAAAAATCTCTCAATCCCATTCATGCACACATTGATGATGGTAAGCTACTGGATTGTAGCTACAGCTACAGCTGGGACAGGATGACAGAAGTGAGACTGCCATATTCCACCATCAGCCCTTCTGACCAACACCAGCAGGTAAAGTGGGTGAAATGTCTAGCCCACAAGACATTTCTCTTGTTGGACACAACAAGAAAAACAGACGGGGGCTTCTTCCAGCAATCCACTGATTGCAGGAAGAACTCCTACCTGCATTATACTCTAATCTGAACAAAGAAAAAACCTATCAAAGAGCTTTCAATTAACACCAACATTATGTAGGTTGGATTAATAATAAGAATAATCGGACAGCATTTAAGACTTTCTATGCAGAAAATATTTCTGACGGACAAAAAGATTTCCTTAACAATCAAACATATATGTGTTTGTTGGTTTTAAATAAAACATTATAGTATTCATAAATGTTTGTACAACCAGCCTGCATGCCAACATACAAACATATTTACACAAACTAGTCAAATATCTTGTTGGTGCACACAATGTTGGCCATTAAAGCTGATTCTGGGAATTATATCTATTAATATAATTCTCTCTGAAGTCCAGCAAACATTTTATGACTTCCAGTCAGTGTTTCAATCCAGATAATACGTCACTTACTGAGATCTTTGCTGTCTTGTGATTCCTCCTCCAGTTCTGATGTGGATGCTATGTGGGGATCCAAGCTGAGCCCTCCAGGTTCCTCTGCTTCCAGCTTCATCATTTCAGACATCCTTATCCCATTCTTCTTTCAAACATTCTTGTTAGAAGCCTTGCATGTTCGAATAGGTTATGGTTACAGTCATATAACCTGTATCTTTTGTTTTTCTGTTTCCTGGAAGTAGAATCAGACACAAATCGTCTGATGTAAGAAAATGTCAGGATAAGCTGAAGAGATGCTACAGAGCAGAAAGTCTGATACCTTGATCAGTAGTTCTGGGTCCACTCTGTAATGAGCCCCAAGCTCTCGGTCCTCAGCTGCACAACGAGGTGTCCACAGTCTGACAAAGTCGAAGGATGGACGTCGCTTATTTAATCTCTGCGGTTCGCTGCTTTAGCTGAAAGTCCATTCACCTGGCTAATTGCTAATTTAATTCTGTACCTCAAACTAGACATGATAAAATCGTTTAGAAACAACCATGTACCAAGGGTGTCACGTAAGCACTTGTTTTACACACATTTCAACACGTTTTCCTGTCGGGATTTTGCCAGTCAAGCTAACATTGTTACATCCGGTTCCTTCCTCCTCACTGACCAATCAGCGATAAGGACAGGAACCCAGCTGACTTCCGGAAAGACGTGACCGCTCTCCCGGGTTTACTGTACTTACGGTTATTATTACGTACAAGAATCACCTGTAAGTAACGGGGGCATATTGGATACAAACCAGAGAGGACGCATATTTTTGACCCAGGTAAAATTTAAGTATAAAATACATTTCAAAAGTCTAGATTATTAGATTTTAATTGAAACTTATATTTTAATGCTTTCCCCGACGGAGCCGAGTTTTAACAAAAATCCTCTCCCTATAATTTGCTTTATGCACACATCAATTTATGCAGTCTTAAGTTTTATTTAACGTCATTTATTTTCCTTCTCAAAATGGCAATTATAGAGCCACGAGGTGCCACAGATAGAAATCCTCTTCTTGTTCACTTTCCTATGCAACCATTTTAACAGGTGGTCCTTTTACAGTATGGTTGTTCATCAGCATTGATGTTTGTAATCCTCCGCAGCACACACTCCCATGGTGGTGTTCTCACTTAATTCAATGAAAATTCAAAATATTTTATAGTGATCTAAAACAGTCATCTAAAGGCATTTTACTGAACAAACAGGTCAATTTCATATCAAATTATAAACAGAATTCAGTCCAAACAGCTTTTAATATGTTTATTATACACACTTTAACATATTTAGCAACATGACTTTATATAAACTCTTTAGGACAACAGGTTTTTAGACAAGGTAACATGAAAGCTAATATTTAAGAGGGATGAGTTAAAAAGTGAATAACTGCCAGCAGGAAGTAATAAAGAGGTAACATCTAGCGTCCACACTTTACTATGCAGAAGTGTCTGATTCAGATCATTTTAGTTTAAAGAGACACTATTAACAAAAATATGCCCATTGTCTTGTAGTTATGTGCATAATTTATGTTGACAGACAGCTACAAAGCATAGTTGTTACTTTCTGAAAAGAGCACTGATAGAGAGGTGGTACATTTGAAACCAGGATTAAAGTTCAGGTTGGTTAGGCACTAAACATCATTCATTGGTTGAATATTGTCAACAGTTCTCATACATAAAAAAAAAAAAACACAGGCATGAACGATGTTACCAGAGAAAGAAGCAACAAAGAGCAAGAGCACCAAACTGGCTTTTTTAAAAGAGAAACAGTCAAAGGACATCAATGATTTAACCAATGGCACCATCACTAGTAGCTTCAATAAATGAGTGAAAGACATGATTAGATTTTAAGATGATAGGTTCACATAATATGCTTTACTGAACCCAAAGATCAGAAATTGGCTCTGAATCTCCGATAGTGTTCTCTAGTAGCAATGAATGATTAATAGTATTAAAAATGGATTTTGCCTAACCATAATTTAAAATACAGCTACAGAAGAATTGTATTTTCAAGTGTATTTAAACACGTCTCAACTTACTGTGAGAATTTCTATCATTCTGCAGAGAGGGAGTGCCTAATTTAGCTGCATCCCTTTTCCAACACGCCTGAAGCTGAATGCCACGATGACAAGGGTGTTGGATCAGAGATGCATCCAAAAATCTGCAAAATAAAGACTGTTGGGGAAATTACAGAAGCGATTTGTCAACCATCAAAATAATCACGAGTGGCAGGCCTCATGAACACCCATGTGTCTTTTCAGATTTCCATGCTGCGAAAACGCTTTATGGCAAACACTACACTCAAACGGTTTCTCCCTCGTGTGAGTGCGCATGTGTCTCTTTAGGTTCTCCTGCAATGTAAATCCCTTGTTGCAAACACCACAAATAAACGGTTTCTCTCCAGAATGGACTCGCATGTGCTTTTTAAGATGACACTTATGATTAAATCTGCTTTTGCAGACGTCACAAGCAAACGGTCTCTCCTCTATGTGAACTCTCGCATGTCGCTCCAGCTGCATTTCGTCCACAAAATGTTTGCTACAGTCGTTGCAGCTGAACGGTGCGGTGTGAAAATTCATATGCTTCTTCAGACCCCCGGGATTTGAGAATTCCTTACCGCAAACGCTACAAATAAAGGGTTTCTCTCCTGTGTGGACACGCATGTGTCTCTTCAGATCTAAATGTTGCGAAAATCCTTTACTGCAAACGGTACAAATCAGTGGTTTCTCTCCCGTGTGAACAACCATGTGTCTTTTCAGATTGTGTTGCAGTGAAAACCCTTTGCTGCAGAAACTACAAATGAACGACTTCTCTCCTGTGTGAATACGCATGTGGCCCTTTAGATGATCCTGTTTCAAAAACCCTTTGCTGCAAACGCTACAGACAAACGGTCTCTGTGAAGTGTGAGTCCACATGTGCTTCTTGAGGCTTTCTTTTCTTTTAAATATTGAGCCACAAACCTCACAAGGAAATGTTTCTTCTGAATGGACTTTCATGTGACTATTAAGAATATTCTTTGCATGAAACCTTTTCCCACAATCGTCACAAGCGAAAGGTTTCTCTCCAGTGTGAACCCTTACATGCGTCTGTAGGGAATGGTCGTCTTGAAATCCTTTACCACAAAAATCACAGTTATGCTCTCTCTTTGCAGTGTGAGTCTTCATGTGGAAGTCAACGTGAATTCTACATTTGAATCTCTTGCCACAAACATCACAACCAAATGGCCTTTCTCCTGCTTGGACTGCACTCTGAGTTGTAAGCTTGGAACTCATTTTAGATCTTTTACCTCTTTTGTGAACAGTCATCTTAATTTGTTGGGAAGAACACTGTGGATCTGGGATCCTGTCTGGTTCTGGTCCTCCACAGTCGACTCCATCAGGTTCTGTTTCCTTCTGTTCAGCTGAGCTGCTGCTCAGACCTTCAGCCTCTGTGTTGCCTTCAGTTTTCATCTGATGAAGATCTGATAACTGTGGTTTCTCTTCATCTTCGGTCTTCACAATAAGCTGCTCCTCCTCCTGACTGATCCACAGTTCCTCTTCTTCCTCCTTTATGTGGGGGGGCTCAGGGTCCTGCTGGTCGGAGCTGGAGCTCCATGAATCGCAATGTTCTTCTTTAACCACCACAATCTGAAGGTCTGGGAACAATGGAGCACACACAGACATTACTGATTGGAGACAATGTTAAAGTGAGTGAAGGAGAGTTTTAAACTTCTGTGGATGTTGGGTTATAATCCCGGAAAATTATGTCCTTATTAGGATTACAAACGCTATAAACCATGTGTCTTTTCAGATTGTGTCCTTAGAAGGACTTATTATTATTATTATTATTATTATTATTATTATTAGAGAATGCCGATACACTGTTGATCTGTTTGGAGACAAATTGGGATTACTAACTAAACTATAGTAGTGCTTTAAAAAGAAACATTGTTGAACATAAAAGTTCTCATCAGATTAAGGTCAAAGTGTTACCAATTGTGTCACAACTGATAAAAGTATCAACATCGATGAAAACAAAATGTGTTTGGATAAATGAATGATTAGAATATATCATTAATGTACATGTTCTGTTTACCCAAAACATAATAGGAATCCAAATAAATATAAAATAAAACAGGAATAATAGACAAGCTATAATAAGTGACTTTCTGGGCTGGTGGTGAGGCTTCCAGACCTACAGAAATTTGTTAAGCATTTTAATTAGTCAGGTAGAGTGTGAATAGAATAAAACTTAAAACATCGTTGCCTTTGGGATGTTTTATAAAATATATCAAGCCTTCTTCCAAAGTTTGGCTAACATTTTGTTTGCTTATTTGCATAATTAGTTAATGTATGCCTGGTTACTTCTAGGCCAAACAGTGGAAACATTACGACTGGAGGAGTTAGAAGTTCAAGGTGTATTCTACCTCTGCTGCAATGGCTTCTAGGATATTCATCACTTAGGGTTACTGATGCTTTGCTTTTTTCACCCTACAGCCCAACAGCCCTTTTATAACTTTTACCCAGTTTGTTTGCTCCAATATAGACAAACAAATGTGTGTCACTTACTGAGATCTTTGCTATCTTGTGTTTCCTCCTCTGGTTCTGATGTGGATCCTGCAGGCACGGGGGCTTCCGAGCCGAACCCTCCAGGTTCATCAGCTTCAACCTTCATCATCTCAGTCATCCTCGCTCCACCTGGGATTCACTTTTTCCACAATGCTTGTTTTCAGCCTTCACATGTCCTAGTACATTAAGGTTTCATCCGCATCCCTCTTTGCTGCGTCAAACTGGAATTAGACGCAAATCAGCACCTGATCCAAAAAGGAGAACTGAGAAAATAATGCGAGACACCCTGGTCAGTTTCTGTGTCCATTCCCCAGTCTCTCGGCCCTCAGCAGGACTACGAGGTTTAGAGGAAGTATCCACTGATCCCGTCTTTCCCACAGTCTCACCAGTTCGGAGAGTGGACTCGTCTTGTTGTATTAAACCATGAACTTTATCAGCGTCAACCTCACAGAGACTGATTAGGTCTGTGTTGTTAGGAGCTTTAGCTTCACGGAGCTTCACAGTCCATCACTTTGCTAATGCAGCCTGGCTACATTTTATACTGCAAACCCAGGAGGATAAATAATCTCTGCGGTTACAAATAAATATCTAGGAGAGGTAACCCCACGAAGACTTTCGAATAACGACTAATACATAAATTATGCATTTGTTTTACTAAATAATACATTTTTTTCTGTTGGGACTTGCATAGTCAAGCTAACAACAAACCATCCGACTACTTCCTCTTCATTGTCCAATGAATGAGAAGTGAAGTTCGTTTGTGAAAACCTACTTCCTGCTTAAACCGTAAGCGTTTCACAAGAAAAGAACATCGATATAAATAAACTGTCAAAACGTTAAAAGCAATGTTAATAATATATTCTTTTTACTTTAAACTTTTCAAACAGAAAAATATATTTGTAGGTTTCCAATGCATATAAAAAGTCAAAGTAGTACCAACTGAAAAAAAAAGTCAAATTCAGTCTTAGACTCTAACCGTTTTGAAACGCATATTCATGATTACACATAAGAAGTTTGGTAATTAACTTGTTGGAAAAATGAACATGAGATTGTCATATGTGTAGAAGTTTGACTCCGCATTAGGTATTTGGGTACTGAACTGCACCGAACATATCGCTCAACGGAAACAAGGCAGACCTACCTATAAACACTCCAGTGACACATTTCAGCTGTACAGATATGCCAAAATTCCGAAATTTGACAATCTCATTTTCATCACAAAATAATAACTGCAATTTTCAACAAGATAAAAATTTTAGTTTCCTTGATTACAAAACCAAATTCACAGAAATTACAAAAATTAAATGAAATGGTTAAAAAAAAAAACCCACACACACAAAGTTTTGTCATTTTTGCTATTTACTGTCTAGTTGCCATTTCATATGTTTTCTTAATATTCCTAATTATTTAAAGACATTTAAATCAGACTCAGTGGGCTCCCGACCCCACTGAGGGACAAGGGTGTTCAGAAAATGGATGGATGGATGGATAAATCAGACTCAACAGAAGCATATGTACTCTCAGCTTCACATGACAAGTTATTTACAAGATGATTCTGTATCATGTTTTTGATAAAAGACCTTGTGGGGTAAATGTCTGCAATGAGAACTTATAAAAACTTTTGTTTACATCTCAACCTCCAAGGTGTTCAATGAAATTATCTCCGTGAGTAAGAGAGATGATTTGACTCTTTAAAATGTGTTGCTAATGAATTTTGTAGATTGCATGCAATGTCTACGGTCTGCTATTAAGGCTTTTTGTTCATATTTATGAGATGGGTAACACGTTTTGAACTAAAAATTGTTAGTTTTGACCTAAAAATCCTGGTGATTAGATGTCCATCTGCAGTATATTTGGAAGGGAAACTGCACTGAGCACACGAATCATAGGAGTAATATCCTAGGGGAAGATTTAAATATGTGGGAATTGTGACAGGAAAAAGGTCAGATGGGATTAACATCAGTGATGGATTAATACTTTTTTTTTTTTTTACACACCACTTAAGGATAGTTCTCAAAAATCCCATGGCAATATTTCCTCAATGTTGTTACCTCAGGTGGAATATTTTTGATTTTTTTTAAAGTTTCATTAATCAGAAATTTTCCTTCTTTATGTTAATAAATTTTCTAAAAAGCTGATATTTTACACATTTGGTCATTATTGATGTCTATGACAGCAATTTGAACACTGGTATGACTACATAACATTTTCAACATAATAAAACAATCATCAGTATAACCTTTGTATAATTTAATGTGTGAGAAAATGTGTATCTCTGAGATAACTCAGATCAGGAGGCATCTTACTCTCCACTGTTGCCCCTTTAAATTGCCTGTACAGATCAACTTGAAACATAAAATTATTTTTGACGGAGCTCTTCTTTTACTGATTTATTGATTGAACTTTCTGGGTATTATTTACCTTAAAGGCATCAAGAGGCAATTCACAACGTTGCTGACCTGCAAGCTAGGAATGAAACATGCAACAGTGCTGAAAACAGATGGCATACCCACAGAAAGCAGAGATTGCTTAACAAAATCATTGATTTACTAGAAAAATACTGACAGATTAGTCAACTGTCATAGCCATTGCTAGTTGCTGACCTCAAGCAGATCTATGATTTCCTTTGGCTCTCCGTATTATTAAGACACTTCATGTTTTACTATCAGTTTCTCTCATCGTTTTCTAGGTGACATTTCCGATCAAATCTGGTGTCACGGACGTCACAACCAAACGGGCTCTTCTCTGTGTGGAGCTTCATATGTTGCAGCAAATCTATTTTCTTCACAAAATGTTTACTGCAGCCATCACAGCCAAACCTTGCCATGTGAACATTCATGTGTTTTCTCAGATAGGCTTGTCGTGAAAATCCTCTGCTGCAGATATTACAACTAAACAGCTTCTCTTCTGTATGGACGTGCATGTGAATCTTTAGACAATTCTGTCGCGAAAATTCTTTATTGCAAACGCTGCAAGCAAATGGTTTTTCTCCCGTGTGAACGCACATGTGTCTCTTTAGAGTCTGATGTAGAGAAAATCCTTGACTGCAAACGCTACAAATGTACGGTTTCTCGCCGGTGTGAACACGCATGTGACTCTTTAGGTTTTCTTGTTGTGAAAATCCTTTACTGCAAACACTACAGACAAATGGTTTTTCCTCGAGGTGGATCCGCATGTGCTTTTTAAGAGTTTCTTTCATTTTAAATCTTGAACTGCAAACATCACAAAAGAAGGGTTTTTCTTCAGAATGGACCTTCAGGTGAGTTTTAAGGATTCTCTTTGCATGGAACCTTCTACCACAATCGTCACAAGTAAATGGCCTCTCTCCAGTGTGGAGTCTCATGTGTGTAAGAAGCGAAGTCTTTTCTTTAAACCCTTTACTACAAAGATCACAGCTGTGCTCTATCTTTCCAGAGTGAATCATCATGTGTAATTTAATGTGAGTCTTGCGTTTGAATCTTTTGCCACAAACAATGCAACCAAAGGGTTTATCTACAGCTTCAACTCCAATCTGTCTCCCACGTTTGGAACACAGTTTAGGTCTTATGCCTTTTTTCTGAACCGTTATCTTACTTTGCTGTGAAACACCCCCTGGATCTTGGATTCTGTCTGGTTCTGATCCTCCAAACTCCTCTTCATCAGGTTCTGATTCGATCTGTTCAGCTGAGCTGCTGGTTGGATCTTCTGTCTCTAGGTCATCTTCAGTTTTGATCTGATGAAGCTCTGATAACTGAGCTTTCTCTTCATCTTCCCTCTTCACGAAAAGATGCTTTCCCTCCTGACTGATCAGTTGTTCCTCCTCTTCCTCCTTTATGTGGGGTTCAGGATCCTGCTGGTCAAAACTGGAACTGCCATCATGGGGAACCTCCGCTTTAATCGCCAACATTTGGACTGTTAACTCTGAAACACACATGGATATTGCCATTTTGAAAAGCAAATAGTTCGCATTATAACACACAATGTTAGAAATTTAACAAAACATACTAAGCAGATCAGGGATATAACCTGCTCATATTTCAGCTTGTAAGGTTTTATTCCTCCAAAAAAGTCAAGTTAATTGTGTGGACAAAACTTGGAGAAGTAGCTGTTCTCCTGTTTCATAATTCAAGGGCTTCACTTTGACGTCCGTGTTAGTTTTACGTGAATACTAATACTTGCAACACAGATGGAAAATGATTACAAGATTTCACATAACCAAGTCTTTTAAAAGAAAATACAAATATACTTTCAGCACAGTAAACTGAGTCACCGGATGTCAGATGGTGTCATAAGAACTGACAGAGGATTTAAAAAAAATAAACTACCAGGGTGAGCACAATGACACAGGTTTCAGTGTGCTCTGTTGGCTTTAGTAAGCAGATCTGAAGAAGACAGTGTTGAGAATAGAAATTCAAACAGTCATACTGTGAACTGAAACTAAACTTTAAAAAAAAAAACATCCAGCCTGAGCTTATTTGCTCCAATACAGATGATCAGATGTGTGTCACTTACTGAGATCTTTGCTGTCTTGTTTTTCCACTTGTTCTGATGTGGATGCTGTGGGTATAGGAGGATCCAAGCGGAATCCTCCAGGTTCATCCGCTTCAACCTTCATCGTCTCAGGTTGACGACGATGAAGGTCTTCGCAATAGTTGTCTTCAACCTTCACAGTAAGTCAAGGTTTTCTTGGAGTACTACATTATGAAATGGAAAAGGCTTAAAAGCCACAAACACTAATTACCTCACTGCTGTTAGCTGCTTTAGCTACACAACGGCTAATAGTTATTTCGCTTTGTTGATGAAGACTAATTACATTCTGTACTGCTAATTTCCCCTGTAAATAATCATAGCGGTTCAAATCTAACATGTAAAAGCGAAATTCTCACACAAACTCTCACAAGTCTGCTACAAAAACAGAAGGAACTTTGAAACGTTTCTTGTTTCGGGAACTAGTCAGTCAAGCGAACATTGCCATTTCCGGTTACTTCCTTCTCATTGACCAATGAATGACAAGTAAAGCTCTGATTCGAAAACACACTTCTTCTTCAACCAGTTAACATTTCACAATAAAACAAAAAATGTTAAATTGTAAACTATTTAAACAGGAAAAATTATACGTAATATTCCTCCTGTCAGCTAAGAACAGAACATCTACGGTTCAGTTCATGGAGACTCACTGAGACCAGAGAAAAACCCAGCTTCCAATTTCACTTCCAAAATATAATTTTCCGAATAAAAACTGTCTTTTATTTCAGGCTAAAGTTTCTATTTTAATGGAAAGTTTGCCAAACAAATAAATCTACCCACACTGCACCTGAGGATATTTCTGCAAGACTGCATCAATCTGGAACTGTAATTTTGGCTAGTCACATTTTTTTTTAGGATTAATAAATTACAGATATCTCGAATATTTTAAAATCTACACCTTTTCTATTTCTTGTCATGAAATAATATTATGACTAGTCAAAATGATATCCCTGATTTATTAAATAATTTATCTGTTTAGTGAAATGTCTTGGGCTTTAAATGACAACTTGAGATAGTTGAAATATCTTGAAAGACATTTGATCCCTCATAAAGTAATGGAAGATATCTTCAATTCTTTTTACTTGCAGAATCTAAATTCATATATCTTAAATTACAATTCAGGAAAGTCAAAATGTTGAATCAAGTCAAAACTAATTTTTAGACATCTAGAATTCAATCAGGTTGTCAGATAAATATGATTTTATGTTACAGCGGTCTACCATAAGGCCTGTTAGCCAAAATCCCTACTTAAATCCTTGTTTCTACCCATGATTGATAACAAACGACGCCACGTTGGACACAAAGAGTCTTTTTCATCATCAGTGATGTATTTTCCAAAGTTGGGGAGCCAAAAAAAGAAACCATCTTAAAGCGGAAACAGTGGGAAAAGTCCTGTTCTTATATAAAAATAATGAATCCTCCAGAAATTGAACAGAAATGAACACTTTTTTTTTGTCAGAGCAGCAAACCAACATCAATCTCACACAAGAGAAACAGACTGAAAGTCATTAGAAGAGTAAAATTCTGCGTTTAGCTAATTTTATAGGATCAGAGCCAGAAGTACCAGAACTTATCTTGCTGTGGTTTTGTCCTTTAAACAGTTTGTTTACATTTTTCTCCTCAATGAAGAGAGATGTTCAGGTGACGGTGAGTGGGTCACCAAAGATCTGCTGGCACTAGCAGATAGCAGAAGGACTTCCCATGTCTTTGATGAGGCATGGAGGAGCTGGTGGGATGGAGGAGTTTTGGGTGGTGTATGTGGAGTTAGTATTGTTAAGCAAGAGTACAAATCGTTCAGGCAAAGTGTGAATAACTGGTTAGGTGAGCATTTTAAAGCAGTCCTCATGATTCTCCACATTTCATCCTTTAAAAAAAAAAAAGACAGACATTTGCTTTTGTCCTATATGCCGTTAGACACGGCAAAGCGTAATCCGGTCTGACTGGACATGCCTGTTCTCTGATGATGTTTATATAAATTAATAAAAATAAAAAATAATAACAAAAAATACAACAATATCAACATCAGTCTATAATGGATTTTTTTTTAAAAACTATCTCCTTTATTGTGAAATACTAAAATTGACAACGGAAGTACTTTTTCAACTCAGAACTTTACTTGTCGTTGATTGGTCAGTGAGGAGGAAGTAATTGGATGTAACAGTGTTAGCTTGAGTTGCTAAGACCGGGGAAAAAGCGGCTCAAAGTTTGTGTAAAAATAGGTATATAGTTGATGTCTCAGGCTCTCTGCTGGACAGATATCACTGCTGGGTATGTATTTTGAACCTTGATCACTGTGACCAATTCTAATTGAACAGTACGTATTGTAATTAGCCTTCATTAGCACAATTAATGACCATTATCCATTAACTGTGCGTATTAGCGCTAAAGCAACTAACAACGTTCAAGCTTTTAAAAGTTAATACTTTAGTGCTAGAGTTCACTGTCGGACTTGTGGGGAAGACCACATTGGCTGTGGACTAACCTTGTTGTCCAGCTGAGGACATAGTGGACCCTGGACTACTGACCAAGGTATCAGACTCTCTGGTTTAGATATTCTCCTAATATGTTTTATTTGATCAAATGCTGATTTGTGTCTGATTCCCATTTCAGAGAACGGAAAAACAGAAGATCCAGATCATATGACTTCTAGAGCATGTGAAGGTTGAAGACAAGACAAGGATTGTGTAAAGGGGAATCCCAAGTGGAGTGAGGATGACTGAGATGATGAAGGTTGAAGCGAGGATGACTGAGATGATGAAGGTTGAAGCAGATGAACCTGGAGGATTTAGCTTGGAGCCTCCCGTACCTGCAGCATCCACATCAGAACCGGAGGAGGAAACACAAGACAGCAAAGATCTCAGTAAATGGCACACATTGTTTTATCTGGATTCAGAGGACTTTCTTGACAGGTAGTAACGGAAGTAATAACGTCTAACTTTTGCGGTTCCAAAGCAAGATTGTAGTTTCAATCTTGCAAACTGCAGACACAAGAAAAAGAAACGACAGCCACGTTTGGATAAAAAAAGACAATAGTCGTTACAGTATGATTGAAAGAACAGACATGTCAGGCTAGAGTTTTAGTAGCCAGTGATTAGACCTACAGGCTTCTAACTACATGTTACTTCCTGCCAAAGGAAACAGTCAGCAGTAGAGCATACTTACTTTTTTTATGTAAGATTCCTTTATGGTCTTTAAAAGAATGGAATAGTATGGAATTTGATTTGAAGGTTTTCAAGTGTGGAGAGGTCAGAAATGGAAAAGAAATGTGGGCATGGAAAATTTTTTTCATTTCCAGATTCTTTTTTACCTTAATCAGTTCATTTAGCTTTTTGCTCATTTTTTTCCCCCGTAGTTTTTATTAAGATATATGTATATATATGTACATGTGTGTGTATGTGCACATATAAATTGTTTCTAAGCAAACACTAATGTCTATGTGATTGTCAGTGTTTCCACTCCATCAGATGTTGGTGATCAAAGCAGAAGTTCCCCATGATTGGACCTCCAGTTTGGACCAGCAGGACCCAGAGCCCCCGCACATAAAGGAGGAAGAGGAGGAACAATGCATCAGTCAAAAGGAAATGCATCTTACCGTGAAGAGGGAAGATGAGGAGAAAACCGAGTTATCAGAGCATCTTCAGATCAAGACTGAAGACAGGAGCTCAGCTGAACAGCTGGAAACGCAACCAGAACCAGATAGGAACCCAGATCTAGCACGTCCCAATCAGAAAAGTAAGATAATGGTTCACAGAAGAGGTAAAAGACATAAACTGTGTTCCAAGCTTTCACCTAAGGGCCACACGAGAGAGAAATCATTCGACTGCGATGTTTGTGGCAAGCGATTTAAACGTGAGACTAATTTTAAATTGCACATGGTGATTCACAGCGAAAAAACGGAACACATCTGCAATATTTGTAGCAAAGGATTTAAAGTGAAGCGTTCTCTTGAGACGCATATGAGGCGGCACACTGGGGAGAAGCCGTTTGCGTGTGACGTTTGCAGCAGAAGGTTCCATGCGAAGAGCAATCTCACAAGTCACCTGAAGGTCCACTCGGAAGAAAAACCCTTTTCTTGTGACGTTTGTGGTACGAGGTTTATCAGAAACGAAAATCTCAAGAGGCACATGTGGATCCACACGACAGAGAAACCGTTTGTCTGTATTGTTTGCAGTAAAGGATTCTCACTGCAGCAGAGGCTTGAAACTCACATGCGCGCTCACAAGGGGGAGAAGCTATTCGTGTGCAGCGTTTGCAGTAAAGGATTTTCCCGACACGAGAATCTAAAAAGACACATGCGCATACATACAGGCGAGAGGCCGTTTATCTGCAGTTTTTGCGGCAAAGGGTTTTCACTACAAGAGACACTGAAGAGCCACATGCGTGTTCACACGGGGGAGAAACCGTTCATTTGCAGTATTTGCAGTCAGGGATTTTCCCTCCAGCAGAATCTGAAGAGTCACATGTACGTCCATACAGGGGAGAAACCGTTCACTTGTAGTGTTTGTAGTAAAGGATTTTCTCGGCAAGTGTATCTAAAAAGTCACTCGAAGGTCCATACGGCACCGTTTAGCTGTAGTGACTGCGGTAAATGTTTTATGAATGAGATGCAGCTACAGCGGCATGTGAGGTTCCACTCAGAGGAGAGACCGTTCAGTTGTGATGTCTGCAAAAGCAGATTTAATCAGAAGATTCATCTCGAAAGTCACATGAGAGTCCATTCAGGAGAAAAACCGTTTGTTTGCAGCGTTTGCAGTAAAGCGTTTTCCCGTCCTGGAGATCTGAACAGACACATGGGTGTTCATAAGGCTAATGCAGCTAATGACTGAGAAATCTGTCCATACGCTTTTAGACAGTCGACTGTTATTTTAAGTCCCTGCTCTCTGGAGGATTATCCTCTGACATTGACAGTGTTTGATGAAACCTTTTGGAAATGTTTCACTTCTTTGATCAGCTGCAAGTTAAAATATGGAACACATCAAACTTGGGATGAGCACGTTTAGATAAAAATCCTTGCATCGTTACACGTTGATTTTAGGCATGGCTGAAGTTCATTAATGTCACCACAAGATGGCAGCAATACACTAAAACACTGAGAGCCTACATGAAGCCTGCAGCCTCATGTAGCAGAGTTCTGAATGAAGTGGAAACGGATCCACTGTAAATAAAAACCGAAATGAACAATAGCAATAATAATAATAAACTGTACAAGACAATTACATAAAATACTGTGCAGTTATTACAAAAAAATATATTATTTTTAATTGAAATGGCAGGAGGTGACAGCAGAGGTCCACCAGTCCTGAAAACGTGGAAATTATTTCACAAAGTTAAAAAAAAAAAAAAAAAAAAAAAAAAAAGCATGAACAGTCGATGATAAGAAATCCAAATCTGATTGCCATATTGTTATTACTACAGCTGCCCGCTGCTGCCTGGGTGTCATGTGACAGGTGTTGCTCTTCTCATTGGTGCTTCTGATCTCCTGAAGGGAGATGACACAACTACGTCAGTATCTTCAGTACAAGAGAATTTTGTTTTGATATATCTGAATTAATATGTCATAGAACAGAACCCTTTTTTTTTATTGTATTTAATTTCTTAGAATTATCCACCAGCCTTAAGGCATGCTCTGTGAAACTGGTTTTCTGTGAACACTAAAAAATATGACATTTAAGGGGGAAATGTTTTGTTCAAGAATGGTGTTAAAAGCTAGCAATACAATTTAATACTTAGTGCCTGCCTTAATAAAAACAAATAAGATGTAAAACTATACATGTCCCATGTGTGTAAAAAAAATAAAATCCGGAATCTCCGATTTAATATAATTATCCTCTTTGCCCTGTTTATCGTGTTTTTAAATAGGATGCATGTTGGATCGTACCAACGCTTTTAGTGTTCAGTTTAAAATGTGAATACATTTAAATAATGGATATTATGTCGTTATTTATTTGTACATTTGTTCAATATAAAATATGTAGTCTGTCATTAGGATGACTTTTGTATAATAAACTGGATGCAATGGACTAATAGTGGAGCTCTGCAAACTACTACACCGTGTATTTCTTCCAACCAGCAGATCTCACTCCATGCCGCATGTTCAGCTTGGAGGTCTTGCTTTGTCAGCATCTTTTTATTTTTTTCATCAGAGTTGTATTTATGCAACTATTGCAGAGAAAGACTTTGCTGCAAGCAGTGGTCATGAACAGAATTGTTTATTGGATTCAAGTCTGTTTTAGAAAACCGTCCTCTGTAGCTGGGAATCATTACTTTGGTAAATAAATATATATATAAAAAAAGTATTGGTTGTAACTCTGAAGTGTTTGAATTCTTTATAATTTTAATTTCTCTCTTTTCTTGAAAACTTTGAAGTTTTAGAGCTTTTTTTGTTTACTCGCTGAGTCTTTGATTTATATTACTTCATATATGAAATTTAAGTATTAAAGTTAGTGGTTATGGTGCTGCGTGCTAGTTAATTGAAAACCATTGATTAACATTTCTGTGTAAAAACATTTCTTAATACTATCTTTTATACCTCCTGTCTTCAATTTCATACTTGACCTATATTTTTGATTCAGCTCTTTAGAAAAAAAATACCTCCGTGGTACAAAAAGATCTACTAACTATATAGGGTACCATTGCAAAAGTAGTTAAAAATCCATTTTACTTGAATGCTGTTAAAACAGAAGCTTAGAGATTCATCCGCATCATTCTTAGTGATTTTTGTGTATATTTCTCCACAAATAAAAGACAGAAGTTCAAGTTTTTAGGATCTTTTCTTTTTTTGACGAGAACTTTTTTTTTATTAAACACGGACAATACAGTTTGACATAGTTCCAAAACATAGAATGTAACAATTGAGTTGTACAGTTTTTAGTTGCTGCTAAACACTGTACAAGTTATGTCCTTAGTTCAGCTTTTACATCAAAATACAGTAGATGAAATCAATTTCTTTGCATCAAAAACAAAACCAACAAAAACTGCCACATCCAAGGATTACCTGATGCTTTAAATACAATGACATATGACACTTTTTGTGAAATACCTTAGTTTAAAGTCAAGGTGTTCTGGAGGAAGGAGCGGATTATTCTAAAGATGGTAAATCAATTCTGTTCCTACAATTGAACAGAATTCAATGCCTTTAAAAAAAGGCGGCAAAAAATAAAGTTTTCATAATTTGATGAGTTAAATACAGGCATAATTATAGCTCTATCCAGCAAGAAACAAACATTTCCTTAAGACTTATGCTATTTTTGTTACATCAACCTTCAAAATAAAAGATTCGAATGATTGTCTACACATTACATCAGTTATGATTGCAGTAAAAGTTTTTTTTCTTGTACAGAATAAATTAAACATGAGTTAAACTCACTATGTTGGGAGAAATTTTCAACTCCTTGATCCGACTGATTTATTTATTTTTTTAGTTTAATTCAAGTCTTTAAGTAGTGTATGAAGCTTTTGTTTTACATTTATCATAATCATTGGAAACAAATACACTAAAATGTATTAAATGCATAACGGTCAACCAACTTTGACAGGTTTTTACCCAACAGTACGTTCCAAAAAGCAGATATTTACAGTCTTAGAAAAAATAAATTAAAATAAACAGAATACTGTGTACTTAATGATAAATCTCTAGAAGGCAACTTGGTTTATATTCGGTACAAATTTATCACCGTTAGACTCGATGCAATTAGCTAGGTTTTCTATACCAATTTGAACAAAGAACTAAACTTGACAACGTTATTAATTAGGACTGAATTGTAACATATTTAGTTGACTGTATTTTTGTATGACTGAATTTAGGTTTTTTTTTTTTTTTCTAAAGCACCTAGAGACGATATCTGTTGCGATTTGGCCCTAAACAAAAGTGAATTTATCTGAATAATCATTGAGAAATTAAACGGTGCGCATAGAAAATAGAAATGCAATCATGTGAAAGTCCCTGGCTTCAAACAAATCCGTTCTGTTCGAACACATAAGTGACCGTTTAGGTGAGCTTGCTGTAAAAAGTATCCCCTAAACACAACAGCACAAACAATTTCTCTCATGAACACACATTGGAGTCTTTAGGAGAGCTTGTCATGAAAACCCATTACTGCCAACACTAGCTTAATGACTTTTCTCCAGCGTGAATAACCACATGGCTATTTAGACACTTTTTCGCTGAAAAACCTTTACTGCAAAAACTACAAGTATAGGGCTTCTCTCTTGTGTGGACACACATGTGATTATGCAGAGTCTCCTGTCGTGTAAATACTTTACTACAGACGCCACAAGAAAACGGCTTTTCTATCGTGTGAACCACCATGTGTCTATTTAAAGTCTTCTTTGATAAAAATCCTTTACTACAAACACCACAACTAAATGGCTTCTCTCCTGTGTGAACACACATGTGACTCTGTAGAAGAGCCGGTTGTAGAAATCCTTTACTGCAAACGCTGCAGACAAACGGCTTCTCTCCTGTGTGAACGCACATGTGACTCTGTAGAAGAGCCGGTTGTAGAAATCCTTTACTGCAAACGCTGCAGACAAACGGCTTCTCTCCTGTGTGAACGCACATGTGACGTTGAAGGCAGTCCTGACGGGCAAAACTTTTACTACAAACACTACAAATATATGGTTTCTCTCCTGTGTGAACAACCATATGTATGTTCAATTTGTTCTTCTCCGAAAACCCTTTGCTGCACACATTGCAAATAAACGGTCTCTCTCCCGTGTGAACACACATGTGACGCTGCAGATAAGCGTGCACCGGGAATCTTTTATTACAAACGCTACAAACAAATGGTTTCTCTCCCGTGTGAACAATCATGTGTACGCTCAAGTTGTTTTTCGCTGAAAATCCTTTGCTGCAAACACTGCAACTGTAGGGTTTCTCGCTCAAGTGAATACGAACGTGGGCTCTGAGGTTCGGCTTCGACTTAAAACTCTTAGGACAAACGTCACAGGCAAAAGGTTTCTCTCCAGTGTGGACATTCATGTGTGTCTGAAGAGAACGCTTTTCTACAAATCCTTTGCCACAAAGATCACAACTATGCTGTCTCTTTCCTGTGTGAGTCATCATGTGTAATTTTACGGAATGCTTGCGTCTGAATCTTTTGCCACAAAGATTGCAGCCAAATGATTTCTCCCCATCTGCCATGTTACTTTGCTGGGAGGGACATACGGGCTCTGGGTCACTGTCTGGTTCTGGCCGTCTAAAGTTCTGTGCAACAGGTTCAGGTGAACTGCTGGTTGGAGCTTCTGTCTCTAGGTCATCTTCAGTTTTGATTTGATGAAGTTCTGACAAGTGAGGTTTCTCTTCATCTTCAATCTTCACAATAAGCAACTCTTCCTCCTGACTGATCCACTGTTCCTCCTCTTCTTCCTCTTTTATGAAAGGAAGCTCTGGGTTCTGCCGGTCCAAACTGGAGTTCATGTTATTGTGAAACTCTTCTTTAATCTCCAAAATCTCAGGGACTGGGAAAGATATAACATTGATGGACATTAATGATGGCAGACAATTTTACAAAAATGTAATATTTCACATAATGAAACAACACTCTCCTTAACGTTTAAGATAAAAATTCAAAATGTTTGGAAATGAGAAAGTTAACCAAAAAAGTTGGATGTTCTTCTACCTGCACAGAACAAAAGGGACTCAAAAAAGAATATACAGCATTAACCCATTTTAGGATGCCTACACCAACCACTAGACTGAGAGTCTATACCACAAATATATTCTGATATATTCCTTATCAGTAGTGCAGTGCTTTAAAGAGAAGGATGTTATGTACTTTGTTGCACTTTTGTAAGGCAGTAGCTCTGTAGAAAATAGGCAACTCAATGTTTTGAACAGCCAGTCAATCTGGAAAACTTAAACTACAGCTTGTCATGGTCTACATTACCCTTTAAGTTCTTTGTGTAAGCTTGAAATAATGTACATTTGAATTCAGTTAAATTGTGCAAGTTTCATGTTAACCACCAATGCAGCTGGGTTGTGGCAAATAGACTTCGTATGGATGATTGGAATCGTTGACAATTAGAGTGGCTGGTGTTTTTTTTGTTTGTTTGTTTGTTTGTTTTTTTTGACACCAAGAGAGAACTTTGCATACTTTTCTAACTTACTTAGATCTTTGCTGTCTTGTGTCTTTTCCTCCAGTTCTGATGTGGATGTTGCAGGTCTGGGGGTGTCCAAGCTGAACCCTCCAGGTTCACCTGCTTCCACCTTCATCATCTCAGTCATCTGGGATTTTCCTTTTTACAATCCTTGTCTTCAATCTTCACATGCTTTAGTAAATCAAGGTTTCAGTCACATAACCCTAACCCATGAATCTCTGACAAGTTACCCAAAACGTCTCTGCAGCTAGCTGCTTTTGCTCCCCGGTAGCTAACAGCCCATTATTATTATTATAGTATGCACTGCAACAAAGGCTAGAAATATTCAAAGCAAACATATCAACGCAATATCCTCACGAATATTATCGAGTAGATGGTCTGAAACATCAGCACTACACTTACTTTCCAGAAACTTTGAGCCATTTATCAAACGGGAATTAAAAACTAAAGGTAGCATTTTACATCTGGTTACTTCCGCCTCACTAACCAGTGAATGATAAGTTAAGCTCTTGTACTTCCGCTTTTCACAACAAAGCTTATTTTCCAAATGCCTTTATCTACTATATTTTTTTCACCAGTCTATAAGACAAATCAAATCATTGTCGCTTACTCAGTACTCAACACTGAATTGAAATGTTAATTTAAGTTATTTTCTTATTAAAACTGTACGTTTGTGCTGGGGTTTTTTCTCCTTTATTTGTCATTCATTGGTCAGTCAGCAGGAAGAACGATGTTAGCTTAACTAGCAGCTTCGTTTGACGAGCTAAGTTCCGAGTGAAAAACCAATAGGTTGTGATTAAAGATAGTATAATTGGTGCTTCATACCGTCTAATCAGCAGCCTGCGCAAGGATATTACTTCTACGTGTTTGTATTTAATCTCTTTGATATGTATCGCCTTAGGTTGCCGTACATAAAGTCATTTGGCTTTATTGGTGAGAGGAAACGCATGTTAGCCACTGGAACTGAAGCAGCTAACAGCTATGGAAGTTTAAACCTATAAAAATCCATGGTTTTGTGCTACAAAACGAGTCCACACTCATAGTTTATTAGATTATTAGATTGTGAATACCTCCCTTAACCTTATTGTCCAGCTTAGGACCGAGAGACTGGGGACAGCTACGGAGCGGACCCAGAACTACTGACAAGGGTATCGGACTTCTTCTCTGCAGCTTCAGCTCTGCTGCTTCAGTTATGCTACTGTTTACATTTTCTATTAACACACTTTATTTGACCAGAGACTGACTTATGTCTGATTCCAGTTTCAGGCAGCAGAAAAACAGAAGATCCACGTTTATATGACTGAAACCTTGATCTACTGGAACATGTGAAGTTTGAAGACAGGGATTGTAAAAAAAAAAAAAAGGAGGATCCCGGGTGGAGTGAGGATGTCTGACACGATGAAGGTCGAAGCAGACGAACCTGGAGGGTTCAGCTTGGAACCGCCCGTGTCTGCAGCATCCACATCAGAACTGGAGGAGGGAACACAAGACGGCAAAGATCTCAGTAAGTGACACATGGATTGTCCGGGTACTCTTTCAACCTGTCAGATGTCCGTCGCAGGGTCACTCACATATTCCAACAGACACCATGTGCCCAACCAGATCTTTAACAGACTGGAATGAAGCTTCCAACTGTTGTATATCCAGGGTCCCTACATGGGGCTTCACAGAAGGAGTTTGGATAGATCTGAGTTACTGTTTGACTTTCCAGTCTTTTTAACTTATTCTAATATCTGAAAAATGAAAGTCAGCCACATGAAATGTCCATAACTATAGCTTTTTGATGATGGTCTTCTAATTCCTACAAAGACTTAACACCTGATCTAAAAAAAAATGTATTGTGAAAATTGTCCATATACTTCAATTTTTTCACCCTTACAATTTAATTTATAAAATTGTCAGCAATCATTAATGCCTGTTTGTGTTTCATTCTTTCCAGCTCATCAGATGTTTATGACTAAAGAGGTCATAAACATCCAAACTAGTTTGGACAGTGAAAATCCAGAAGCCCGCGTGAAGGACGAAGAGGAGGAGCAGTGGATCAGTCAGGAAGAAGAGTTGTGTACTCTGAAGATTAAAGATGAAGAGAAACCTCATTTATCAGAGCTTCATCAAATCAAAACTGAAGATGACCTAGAGACAGAAGTTCCAACCAGCAGCTCGCCTGAACCTGTTGCAGAGAACTTTAGACAGCCAGAACCAGACAGGGATCCAGAAGCCCACGTGAAGGATGAAGAGGAGGAACAGTGGATCAGTGAGGAAGAAGAGTTGCGTACTGTCAAGATTAAAGATGAAGAGAAACCTCACTTGTCAGAACTTCATCAAATCAAAACTGAAGATGACCTAGAGACAGAAGCTCCAACCAGCAGTTCACCTGAACCTGTTGCACAGAACTTTAGACGACCAGAACCAGACAGTGACCCAGAGCCCGTATGTCCCTCCCTGCAAAGTAACATGGCAGATGGAGAGAAATCATTTGGTTGCAGTTTGTGTGATAAAAGATTCAGACGTAAGCGTTTTGTTACATTACACATGATGACTCACACAGGAAAGAGACAGCTTAGTTGTGATCTCTGTGGCAAAGGATTTGTAGAAAAGCGTTCTCTTCAGACACACATGAATGTCCACACTGGGGAGAAACCTTTTGCCTGTGATGTTTGCTGTAGAAGGTTTCATGCTAAGACAAGTCTTACTACACACATGAAGGTCCATTCAGAAGAAAAACCTTTTTCATGTGATGTTTGTGGTTTAAGATTTTGGTTAAAATCAGTTTTCAAAAAGCACACCCAGATCCATTCCACAGAGAAACCGTTTGTTTGCAGTGTTTGTAGTAAAAGGTTTTTGCGACAAGGAAACCTAAAGAGTCACATGCATATTCACACCGGAGAGAGACCATTTATTTGTAGTGTTTGTAGTAAAGGATTTTCTCAACTTATCCATCTGACGAGTCACATGCGTGTTCACACAGGAGAGAAACCATTGATTTGTGGCTTTTGTCACAAAGGATTTTCCCATTCAGCTAGTCTAAAGAGTCACATGCTTATTCATTCAGAGGAAAAACCTTTTGTTTGTAGAGTTTGCAATAAAGGATTTTCAAGACGAGAGGTCCTAAAGAAACACATGCCTGTTCATACAGGAGAGAAACCGTTTATTTGTGAATTTTGTAGTAGAGGATTTTCACGACAAGAGAATCTAAAGAGTCACATGCATGTTCACACCGGGGAGAAACCCTTTGTTTGCGACGTTTGTAGTAGAGGTTTTTCACGAAGAGCTAGTCTGAAGAGTCACATGAATGTTCATACAGGACAGAAACCATTTATTTGCAGTGTCTGTAGTAAAGGATTTTCACGACAACAGAATCTAAGGAGCCACATGCGTGTTCACACAGGAGAGAAGCCATTGATCTGTGGTTTTTGTCACAAAGGATTTTCCCATTCAATTAGTCTAAAGAGTCACATGCTTGTTCATACAGGTGACAAACCGTTTGTTTGTAGAGTTTGCAATAGAAGATTTTTAAGACTAGAGATTCTAAAGAGTCACATGCGTGTTCATACAGGAGAGAAACCGTTTATTTGTGAATTTTGTAGTAGAGGATTTTCACGACAAGATATTCTAAAGAATCACATGCGTGTTCACACCGGGGAGAAACCCTTTGTTTGCGACGTTTGTAGTAAAGGTTTTTCACGAAGAGCTAGTCTGAAGAGTCACATGCGCGTTCATACAGGACAGAAACCGTTTATTTGCAACGTCTGTGGTAAAGGTTTTTCACGACCAGATACTCTAAAGAATCACATCCGTGTTCACACGGGAGAAAAACCGTTCATCTGTAGTGTTTGCAGTCGAGGATTTTCACGTTCAGCCAGTCTAAAGAGTCACATGTGTTCACCTATGAAACAAACCTTTTGCAGCGAAGACCTTTTGCACTGAAATTTTGAAGAAACCTATGGATGTTCACAAGGACTCCAACTGAATGTGCTGGCGGTCGGTTAAAAGGTTAATTTTTCTAAATTGTCTTTAATTCATCTCTGCATTATCTCAGCACAGTACTAACAGTACTAGGAACAGTACTAAATTGCATTTCTAGATATTGGGTGAATTTAGAGGCTTTTATTGTGATGTTTAAAGGTAATTTCTAATTCTTTTTGGGATGTATAGAACTCGTGTTTGGTTGTATAAACATTGCTTAAAGTTAGCCCATCATTCTGTACTGAAAAAAACACTTCTGAGATTTTAATTCCTCCAAGGGAACAAAACGACTGAATAAAATTGTGTTTCACAATCTCTTTCCATTGTATGATATTATTCAAGACCAAACATGCAGGATGACTTTGGACACCACTGCTGTAGGCTTGTAATTTGACCTTTTTTAAATAGTGTGCTGTTCAATCCAGAGTGTCTAAATCTGAGTTCTGATGTTATTACAGTTTCTTTCCTGCTTTTTCCACTCACCTCTCATCTCACCTACTTTCCTTTGTGCATTCATGCTTTCTCAACTAACTGAGAAAAGCATGTTAGTTGAGAAACATGTTTTTTGATACATCTCCCAATTTAATCAGAATAAAGTAACTATAAAAAGTAAATTTTAAGAATAAAAGTTTTTAAGCATAATCTAATGCTTCCTGAAGAAAGTATTCATTTTACAAATGAAGCAAACGATAAAATGACCATTTATTTCTCAATGTTGAAATTCACAGAGGATCACACAGAGGCACATAGGAATTAACACAGATATAATTTAAAAATTGAGAATGTATATTAGTGTTAACAAGAAAAAGTACATAATTGTGGGGAGAAAAAGTGCTGGTTCTACAAAATGCATGAGTGTATTAAGATAATTGAAACTGTGCAGAAATATACCGTTTACAGGAATAGAGAAACAAATGCCATAAACAAGAACATAAAGCACTTCACCAGGTTTGCTGGGAGTAGACTGTTATACAGAATTAAACAAAAAGTGTCCGTCAGTAGGTTTAATCAGTTTTGCAATCCTGATCTTTCTCTTACACTGTTTTGTATGGTTCAGGTTTATCTAAAAAAAAAAAAAAAGTAGTTTAGGGTTTGTGAGAAAATATTAGGCAGCATAACAATTGCAGATAATCTTACCAACTTTGCTTTGAAACAACAAAGATCAAATGCTATTTGCCTGGTGGAAATGTAAAATATTGCACAAATCCTTCTTAGAGTTAACTACAACATTTTTTTTAAATGTACATCATATAATGTTTTCTATTAGATATTTACCTCACCAGTTTGCCCCTAAGATAATTTAAGTGCCACCACAGATGAGTGCAGCTGTGTTCTCACGGGCCCTGTTTTGTGTTAATTCATATTTTTGCCACAAGTCGGGAACCCTGGTTACATTAACAAAAAGGTTACTTTTACAACTGCAGCTCTTTGCCTCATTGGGAATAGATCTAAAATATGTAAAAGTTGCAACAATGTAGAACTGTTCTTCTTGGAAATGTGTATATCACAAACTTTTCCTTTTGATACTGTAGCACTACAGCATCACCAACACACCAACATTTCTAATGTGTGCAAAAACACCAACACAACTGCAGTCAGATAAGAAGCAAATAAAGCTAAGATATACTCAGGAAAAAAAAAAAAAAGCTGGAAAACTGAGATTTGCCATTTGTATTGGTGCCGACTAAAAGGATAAGGTGGTTAGAATATATCTCTCTCCATATTTTATACACTGAAACAGACAAAAACATGTTAGGTAAATATTCTGCAGCTCTGCGAGCACCACTGATTAAATGAGACACATTGTTAAGTGATAATAGTCTATTTTAACAACTTTCACTAGATTCTACACATGCGCGTACAACTGATGGAAAACATGGAGTTGCATGGTGAGCTCCAACTTTCCTAGTTGGAATTATTATTTAATTCCTGTCTTTCCAACTGGAAATTAAAAAAAAAAAAAAGACAAAGCTGAAGGAGCTTTTAGTAAAATCTGCTGGTACAAACTTCTCTGTTGAGTGGAGATCTGCTGCTGCTTGATCTGTGTCTCCTTCCAACACCTTAAAATACAATCATCAATTTCTTAGACCTGCTTGTCGTGAAAATCCTCAACTACAAACACTGAAATTAAACAGCCTCTATGTCGAGTGAACACTCGTGTCCATTAAGGTATCGCTGTTGTGAAAATCCCCTACTACAAACACTACAAACGAATGGCTTCTCACCAGTGTGAACACGCATGTGGGTTTTTAGAGTATCACTATGTGAAAAGCTTCTACTGCAAACACTGCAGGTGTATGGTTTCTCTCCGGTATGGACAGACATGTGTCGCTTTAGGGTCTCTTGAAATGAAAATGCTCTACTGCATACGCTGCAACTGTAGGGTCTCTCTCCTGTGTGAACGCGCATGTGACTGTTAAGACGAGTTTGTAGCGGAAATCCTTTACTACAAAAGCCACAAATGAACGGTTTCTCTCCTGTGTGAACGCGCATGTGTCTCGTGAAATTATTTTCGTGTACAAACTCTTTACTGCAAAGGCTACAGACAAACGGTCTCTCTGCAGCGTGGATCTTTGAGTGCTTCGTAAGACAGACATTTCTTTTAAATCTTGCACCGCAAATGTCACAGGAAAAAGGTTTTTCTCCCGAATGAACCTTTAGGTGATCTCTAAGAATTGTTTTTGCGTGGAACCTTCTACCACAGTCATCACAGGCAAATGGTTTCTCTCCAGTGTGGACTCTAATGTGTTCCTGAAGGCAACTGTTTCTTTTAAAACATTTTCCACAAAGGTCACATCTGTGGTTCCTGCTTTGTACATGGACCATCATGTGCAGTCTAACACATTTTTTATTTTTGAAACTTTTGCCGCAAATACTGCAACTAAACGGCTTTTCTCCTGATTGGACTCCACTCTGAGCAGCAGGTTTAGAGCACAATTGAGAACTTTGGCCCATTTTGTGAATTGTCATCTCACTTTGTTGAGAAAAGCATGCTGGATTTGGGTTCCTGTCTGGTTCTGGTCCTCCACAGTGCTCTCCATCAAGGTCTGATTTTCTCTTCTCTGCTGTGCTGCAGGTTGCACCATCTGTCTTACTTTCTTCTTCAGTTTTGATCTGCGCAATGACTTGTTTCTCTTCATCTTCACTTTTCACAGTAAGCTGCTCTTCCTTCAAACAGATCCTTAGTTCCTCCTCTTCCTCCTTTATTTGGGGGGTGTTTGAGTTCTGCCGGTTCAAACTAGAGCTCCAGTCACAGGGAACCTCCTCTTTGGCTTCCATTATGTGAACATCTGAAATAATTTAAATACAGAAAGAAATTTATAATTACCTCTAAATCATAAAAGTAAAACAATTAAATTTAATACACAAAACAAAATCTACTAAACATTTATAACTTATTTAATGCTTAAGTTTTTTTTTAAAGTAAAAAAAAACAATCATAAGTAAACTAAATATACATTTACTCGTGTCAGCCAAAAGGACAGCAACCCTAGCAATGATGTAAACAAGCACCAAATATAAATTACGAAACATCACACACAAGAAAATATTAAAAGATGAAAATAAAAATACTAGTGGTGCATCAATTGCAGTTTTCTGGTCAGTCAGTCCTCTCCAATGGGAGAGGTAAATAAGATCAGTAAATAAATTCAGTTTCACATGTTTCGGCTGATTGCTGATCACCCATAATCAAAGAAACAATGTCGACTGATCAGTGAACCCCCAAAAATGCATGAGTTATTTTGATAGTGTTTGCCACCTGAAGTGTTTGTTCAAATACCATAAAGCTCTTTTTCTTTCTGGCTTTAGGAGAAAAATGGATCAGCTTTGGACCCTGTAACTGTTATCCCAAAAATGCATACATTGTCAGATGGGTCGATGAGGACCTTGCAGTTTCACGCACCTGGGTTTATTCTATATCCAATACAATCTTAATAGGACATTGTTCTGTCATTTAGAAGGTGGTACACTCATCTTTTTTACGTGCGTTCTGCGTACGTACTTTTCTCCCTCAGACACACCAATGTGTGTGACTTACTGAGATCCTTGTTGTCTTCAGTCTGCTCCAGTTCTGATGTGGATGCTGCAGGTATGGGGGGCTCCAACCTGAGCCCTCCAAGTTCATCTGCTTCAACCTTCATCACCTCAGACATCATCACTCCTCTTGACTTTCCCTTTCCACTGTCCTTGTCTCCAACCTTCATATGTTCTATAATATATAGGTTTCGGTCAGATATCTTCCTCTGACTGAAATTAGAATCAGACACAATTCGGCATCTGATCAAATAAAGTGTAGAGTCTAATACCTTGGTCAGTATTTATGTGTCCACTCTGTTACTGTCTCCAGTCTCTCGGTCCCCAGCTGGACAACAAGGTCAGAAGGGGTGGCCTCAGACGTACAGACTGACGTGTCCTGTAGCCTCCAAGCACAAACTTTTAAAAGCGTCAAGGTCAGAAATACTGATTAAGTTTCTGCTGTTAGCTGCTTTAGCTACATAGTTGCTAACGGTCGACCAACCACTCATTCACTCTGTTTATTAAGCCTTAAATACGCTACTGCAAGCATGTAGTTGTGACGTCATCGCGAAGACTAGAATATCAAATACACAACACACACCTGTTCTTACACAAACATTAAGATTTTTTTTTGTTTGTTTGTTTTTTTTTGTTTATCGGGGTATAGTAAGATTAGCCAGTCAGGCTAACATCGCTACTTCCGGCTACTGGCTGCTAACTGACCAATGAATTTCAAGTAAAGTTCTGACTAAAGAAACTATGTCCTCTTTCAATTATTAACTTTCCAAATTAAAACAATTTTACTGTGAAGGAACTCACTAATATTAGACACTTGTTTATTCCGTTTATAATTTTTCCAAATATATTAATTACTATATAATTTGTTTTCAGAGTCAAAATACATTAATAACGTATTTTTAACAAGATGTAGTTTTTAATTGATAAGGTAGTTTGAATTTTAATAAACCTTTGATTCTATAGGCAAAAACTAGTATTGCCATGACTACTGGCATACAAACAGCTTTTAATATCTCAACATTAATAGTTTTGGCAATAAAATTATCATTATTTTTCTAAAATTAAAAAAATAAATAAATTTGTGTTTATCAGCAGGTTCCCTGGCTGCAGTCTGCAAAATTACAAGTTTGTGTCTCTGACCATGTTTGCACACACATAATGTCATTTTCACCTGTAGTCACTTGCTAATCATTTTCAAGCGAACATGGTGGATAAAAGATGAGCATTTAGATAATGAGTTTTAATGCCAAACCAAAACAGCTTGAGGTCCACGAGTAAGGAGAGGTTGGAGAAATGACACCCACATACTGAGGAGCCAATGGAGATTTTTTTAAAACTCTCACGAATGCATTGACTTAATGATGTGCTTGCATGTGTTAATGCGCACTTTGTATAGCTGACCAAATCAGTACAATTTCCTCCCAATTTAATGGTGTAGAGTGTTAGCCGACTGAAGTAAGGCTGCAAATATTGCACCATCGACCCTTCTGTCTAAAAAGGGCAATTCGCTCAACAGTCTGCTTACAGTTATACCACGGCTATTTAACCAAAGGGACTTTTCTGGTTTCTGTCTGGTTTATAAGAACAGAGAATGAATCACTTTAAACCTTTTTATTTATAGACACAGCGTACAATGTTTCATTTCATCTTTTCAAAAGAAAGATGCATGGTAACAGGTTGTAGCAAAAAAAAAAAACAACAAAAAAAACAAAAAATGCATCAATTTCCACCTGAACAGAGGGATGGTTATCATAGCTTGTGAATTGATCATAAACCAGTATAAAAACTATTTACATATATTTGGTCCATCATAAAGTAATCCTCTTCTCAGGTCACAAATTTGCCTTCTGCCTCCACCAATCACGGACAAGAATCGTCTCAAGTCCAGTGAACATAAAATACAAGACAACAGCCACAGAGGGTATTAAAGAGATTAATGGTTTTGCCTTAGGCATTTTACTCATGATGATATCAGAGTCTATTTGGATTTTCTAGCTCTATCTCTTAATATTTGAGATTCTGAGAACTCTGGCTTTTTATGTGGGAATACGTAATTTCTTTGTAATGATGGAGTGATAGAAATACATACCATTTGTACTTTTAAGTGCAAATCTTTGTTTACATGTTATTCCGAGGTACATAAACAGTGATATATTAAATTAGACTACTGTACAGGAAGGAGAAATATTGTCATTGGCAGTCATAGTAAAAAGTGTTGTTGAAAGTAACCCATTTTACTTTTTTCATCTTTTTGCTGTAAAAAAAAAATCAGTTCTGACTTGTTTTTTAAGTTTAAGATTTTGACCTACAGCTGATCAAAGCAAAGTAGGGATTCACAAGTCCATTTTAGTTTTTTTTTTTTTTTTTATAAATTCAGAGGCAATGGAGCATTGATAAGTTGCAAAATAAAGGTAGTTGGTGAAAACTTGAAAATTATTGGCATGTTGCTCAACTATCAAAATAATCATTGGCTGCAGACCTTGTGAACGACCATATGTCGTTTCAGATTTCCTTGTTGGGAAAACCCTTTACTGCAAACATCACAAACAAACGGCTTCTCTCCTGAATGCACTCGCATGTGATTTTCAAGCTGACACTTTTGATTAAACCTGCTCCTACAGACATCACAACCAAACGGCCTCTCCTCCGTGTGGACTCTGGCATGTCGTTGCAACTGGATTTCCTTCACAAAACGCTTACTGCAATCACTGCAGCTAAATGATGCGGCATGAACTTCCATGTGGTTTTTCAGATGGTGCTGTTGAGAAAACTCTTTGCTGCAAACGCTGCAAATGAACTGCTTCTCTCCAGTGTGAACATGCATGTGTCTCTTCAAATGAATTTGCTGCGAAAATCCTTTACAGCAGAAGCCACAAATAAACGGCTTCTCTCCCGTGTGAACGCGCATGTGTCTCTTCAGAGTCTCTTGTTCCGCAAATCCTTTGCTGCAAACGCTGCATATGAACCGTCTCTGTCCTGTGTGGGCGTTCATGTGAATCCTTAGACTGTTTTGATGATAAAATCCTTTACTGCACACACTACAAACAAAGGGTCTCTCTGCCGTGTGGACCCACATGTGCTTCTTAAGAGTTTCCTTCCTTTTATATCTCGAACCACAAATGTCACAGGAAAAAGCCCTTTCTCCAGAGTGGACCTCCAGGTGACTTTTAAGAACTGCCTTAGCGTGAAACCTTCTCCCGCAGTCGTCGCATGCAAACGGCCTCTCTCCAGTGTGAAGCCTCATGTGCGTTTGAAGGAAATGCTTAGCTTTAAATTCTTTGCCACAAAGTTCACAGTTATGTTCTCTGTTTTCAATGTGAATTTTCATATGGCGTTTAAAATTGGCCTTATGCTTGAATCGTTTGCCACAAACATTGCAACCAAAGGGCTTTTCTCCAGCGTGCGATCCTGTCTGAGCCATAAATTTGGACATTTTATCACTTCTGTGAACCGTCATCTTACAATACTGGTAAGAACACACTGGATCTGTGACGTCGTCTCTTTCTGGTTCACCACAGTTGTCTTCATAAGAGGCCGTTTTTAGCTCTTCAGCTGAGCTGCTGTCATGAGCCTCAGTCTCCACAATGTCTTCAGTTTTGATCTGATGAACCTCTGATAACTGGGGTTTCTTTTCATCTTTACTCTTCATAGTAAGTTTCTCTTCTTCTTGACTGACACTCAGTTCCTCCTCTTCCTCTTTTATGCAGGGGAACTCTGGGTTGGGTTGGTCCGAACTGGGACTCCAGTCATCAGGAACCACTTTAATCACCAACATCTGATGAACTGAGAACATTGAAAGATACATGAAAAATCAATGACAATCTGATATAACTTAAATAAATAAAATCCATGTCAAAAAATGGCTGTGGACACATATTTTCTAAATGCCACCTCTGGCTAAGTGAGGTCTAGACTAGAGTCCAACCAATTTGGTCGCAAATGCGAACTGATTTCTCAGTAGTGCACCTAAACAATATCTGAGGTTGCACCAATGCAACTAGTCAAGTGAGACTTTTCTCTGCTGCTTCTCCCTACTGCTCTGACCTCCAGTCAAGAATTGTCTTTTGACTTTTTCCTGCTTGCCTGTTATTCATTTTTCTTTGGTGCATCATCATCAGTCAGCATATGCGTGAGATGGTATTATATCTGGTCAAAAGTATTTTCAAAAGTATTTAACGTTTTATCACTTCTGTGAGGAGTTTTTGCTTGTCTTCAGCATATATATTACACTCGAGACTACTGTTATAAACTGATTAAAAATATACATTTCTTGTATTACATGTAAAAGCTTGTGACTGACTGCTAACCTATCCAGTGCGTTGCAACTACTGCAGGGGCATTTATGTACAGACATAGAGTTCATTTATAAACAAATATGCTTTTCCACAATTGAACATTCGTTTTAAAGCAGCCAGATGTAACTTGCTCCAATCGAGACAAACAAAAGTGTGTGACTTACTGAACTCTTTGTTGTCTTGTGTCTCCTCCTCCTCTTCTGATGTGGATGCTGCAGATATGAAGGGCTCCGAGCCGAACCTTCCAGGCTCATCTGTTTCAACCTTCATTATCTCAGACATCCTCGCTCCACCTGGGATTCTCCTTTTTCACAATCCTTGTCTTCAACCTTCCCACGTTCTACTAAATCAAGGTATCAGCCATATCATCTAGATCTTCTGTTTTTCTGTTGTCTGAAATAGGAATCGGACACAAATCAAGATCTGATCAGATAAGGTGTATTGATAAAACATGCAACCAGTAGCAGATTTCAATCGATGCTGCAGAGCAGAGAGTCTGATACCTTGGTCAGTAGCTCTGGCTCCACTGTGGGTGTCACAAGTCTCTCGGTCCTCAGCTGAAAAGGACAGAGGAGGTGTCCACGGACGAAGTGGTCATCCTCAGAGGGTGGAGCATAGACTCGTCTTGTAGCATTAAACTACAAACATTTAAAAAGCTTCAACATCGTAAATGGCATCATCCGTCTCTGTTGTTAGCTTCCACTTTGCTATTGAAGGCTAATGGCATTCTGTACATAAAGTCGGCTATAAATATCACATCGGTTTAGAACAATTATATGGGAGCGATGTAATCACTGCGACTGATAAATAGTAGATCAGAGACATCAACAATTGTGATTTTACATAACCACTTAAGAGGTTTTCCGTTTCGGGACTTAGCCAGTCAAGCTACATTGATACATCCGGTGACATCCTCCTCACTGACCAATGAATGGCAAGTAAAGTGCCATTTCGAAAAACTACTTCCTTTTATTGGTTTTTCCGAATAAAACGTACGCAGAAAATAAAGATATTTTTGAAAAAGGTAAGTGTTGCGCTATTACACTTTTTAAATCACTATATACATTCTAATGTATATAGTGATACATTCTAATGTATATAGTGATTTAAATAGGGTGCCGTTTGTAAAGTTATACTGCAAAAAATCAGTAGCAATATTTTGTTTTATAAGCTATTTAACAATTATTAAACAATTAGCTGCAAGTAATGACTGTTTTCTTAATAAACTATTGGACACCGCTTGTTTATAACAAGCCATCAGTATTATCTCGCAACTATGAAATTAAGTAGCTGAGTATTAGTTGTGTTTGGCTCGTGATAGTAGAAAGACTCCTGGGTCAGACTGTGGCATTTATCTCTACAGCCCTCAGTTTCCCTGATGCCTCTTTCAGCTAATGGAATCTCCTAGAAGCTCTCATAAATTCCTGACAGGTGCTGACCATAAACTGTATAAAATATAGATGACTGAACAGGATCCTGAAGTCGGGTCCCCATAAGTTTATGAAGGTCAAATAGAAGAGAGGCACAATACATTTTCAGATCTTGCACGTTTTATTTTGTAAGAACATGAAATGTTGTTATATTGTTCAAATGTGGAAAATAATACATTACCAATAAATAATTACTAAGTCATAAGTTGAAACAATACAAGGTTAAAGCACAACCTTGTCAGAATGTTCATGTAATGTAAATAAAACATTTATTTTTGCTTCATACAGAAATTCACTTTAAGAGTTTAGTTTTGTTTTATTTCCTNTATTTTTTACTTAGAGACGTTCAATAAATTTCAATTATTGAAAAGTTAATTTATGTTAGTAACTCAATATTACAAGTGAAACCCATAACTACAGACTGTTGTCAAGCCTTCGTTTTTGTTAACTATGATGATTTTCCACTTACAGCTAATGAAAACCTGACATTTAGGATTAGAATAATACATCAGACTAATTAAAACACATTTTTCATACAGAAAGTAGGCTTAATAAAATCTGTGTTTAATACAAAATGTACTTAAATCTCACAAACAAGCCTCATTGGAAGCCATATTCCAACTTATTGAAAATGGCTTTTCTTACTCACTGAAATATATTTGTAAGACCAAATACAAAGAAAATCCTTTAATCAAATGGGGACAAGTTGCAGTTTAATCATACAATATAAATAAAACTTAACTGTCAACATGGAGATCCTAAAATATTGTATTTGTAGGAATACAATATAAAAATGTATACAATAAAGTAGAGGCATTAGGAGAAAAATTAGAGGCTACAAATAGTAGCTAGTACTATCCATTTGCACTTTCTGCAAATGGATATTATTATCCATATTATTATATATTTAATATCTATATTAAACATTGGCAGACTAGTCAAATGTTAAAATACTTAATTACAGCCCTCATGAACACCCATGTGTTTCTTCAGATTTCCTTGCTGTGAAAACGCTTTGCTGCAAACCTCACACACAAACGGTTTCTCTCCTGAATGGACTCTCATGTGGTTTTCAAGTTGACACTTTTGGTTGAATCTGCTCTTACAGACATCACAACCAAAAGGTCTCTCATCTGAGTGGAGTCTCACATGTCGCTGTAACTGGATTTCCCTAACAAAACGTTTCCCACAATCGCTACACCTAAATGGTGCGGTGTGAACCTCCATGTGGTTCTTAAGATGTTGTTTTAGTGAAAATCCTTTACTACAAACATTACAAATAAACTCTTTCTCTCCTGTATGAACACGCATGTGTCTCTTTAAAGTTTCTGGCTGTGAAAATCCTTTACTGCAAAAACTACAAATAAATAGCTTCTCTCCAGTGTGAACAAGCATGTGGCTCTTTAAGTGAATTTGTTGTGAAAATCCTTTACTGCAGACTGTACAAATAAACGGCTTCTCTCCTGTATGAACACGCATGTGTCTCTTTAGATCTCCATGTCTATGAAATCCTTTACTGCAAACATCACAAATAAATGGTTTCTCACCAGTGTGAACGCACATGTGACTCTTTAGATTCTCCTGCACTGCAAATCCTTTACTACAAATACTACAAATAAACGGTTTCTCGCCTGTGTGAAGATACATGTGACTTTTCAGACTCTTTTGTCGTGAAAATCCTCTTGTGCAAACATTACAGACAAAGGGTTTCTCTGTGGTGTGGATCCAAATGTGTTTCTTAAGTGTTTCTTTTCTTTTAAATTTTGTTCCACAAACATCACAAGAAAAAGGCTTGTCTCTAGAATGGACCTTCATGTGAGTTTTAAGGTTTGTCTTTGCTCGAAATCGTTTACCACAGTCATCACAAGCAAATGGTCTTTCTCCAGTGTGGAGTCTCATGTGAGTGTGAAGAAGACTCTTCACTAGAAATCCTTTACCACATAGATCACAGCTATGTTCTCTGTTTCCAGTGTGAGTCATGACGTGTAATCTAACATGATTCTTACTTTTAAATCTTTTGCCACATATACTGCAACCAAATGGTTTCTCTCCGCCATGGATTTCAATGTGAGCCATAGATTTGGAACACAGTTTGAGTCGTTTACCTCTTTTGTGAACTGTTATTTTGTTTTCTCCAGAGGAACATTCTGGATTCTTGTCTGATTCTGGTCTTACACAGTCCTCATCTTCAGATTGTATTTCCATTTGTTTGGCTTCTGCCTCTCTAAAATATTCAGTTTCAATGTGATGAAGCTCTGATAACAGAGGCTTTTCTTCATTTTCAGTCTTCACAGTAAGCTGCTCTTCCTCCTTACTGATCCACAGTTCTTCTTCTTCATTCTTTATGCAGAGGGATTGTGGATTTTGTTGGTCCAAATTGGAGCTCCAATCACCGGGAACCTCTCCTTTAATCGTCATTGTCTGATAGACAGGTAAAGCTGACAGACATACAAACATTAATGGTTGATGAAAATGTCAAAAATCTATTAACTTTATTTTTCAAAATAATAAAAAAAAAGCTTTTGCTTACTTAAATTCTGAGAATGTTTATTTTTTCTAATTTATTCAATTAAAACTGTAGACTTAAACTGACTGATATATCAGCAAGCTAAACATAAATGCAACTGTTTTATGAGAGAATATTTATCATCAGAACAACCCCTATCCCTAACAGACACAGGGTTTCCCAAAGTATATTGTAAGCCTGGCAGGCCACCAGGCTTTACTTGTACTCCCACTGTGCTAACCATTGTTTGTTTATTTACTCTAGGTTTTTCTGTAAACCATTAATAGTGATAGCAAAGATGGGTTTAAGAGTCTCTTTGGTGGAAGCACAATGGCTACATAGTATGGTCAGTATGTGAACACACAGGGAGACTGGAGTTAGGTGTCTTTTTTATTCACCAGAACCACTGTCTGTATTTACTAGTATAGATGCTACAACTTCAGCAAATAAAATGACAAGACATATATAAAAAATAAAGAATTTTAGATAATTAGCATGAAACAACTCAAGTGCAAAAAATTAATATTTAATTTAATTGTATTTTTTGTTTTATGTTAGCCCCTTTTTTTTGAAGACTTAATGGTTGGTGTTTAAGTAGTCCAATAAAACATAATTACCTAGTCATATTTTCAAAATTTCTGTCAAATTTAAACATTTTCTATCACAAAATCACGGTAGGTCACTGGATGAATGCTCTAGCGCTCCTACCACCGGGCTTAGGGAGTTTTCTGGGGGAAAGCATCTTCCTGCTAGCTCAAGTTACAACAATAACATCAGTTGCAACAAATATGCAGATCATGCACAGCTCTGAATTACAATGTTACCAGATGATCACACACCCATCCAAGAACTGAACAAATGCTTAGAATAAATCAGTGAATTGATGTGTCATACCTTTCTTCTGCTGAAAAGAAACAAACAGACCCTTTGAACTTCCAGACAGGTAATTTACTCCAATACAGACAAACCAATGTGTCACTTACTGAGATCTTTGCTGTCTTGTATTTCCTCCGGTTCTGATGTAGATGCTGCAGGTACGGGGGGCTCCAAGCTGAACCCTCCAGGTTCATCTGCTTCAACCTTCATCATCTCAGTCATCCTCGCTCCACCTTGGATTCTCCTTTTCACAATCCTCGTCTACACGTTTTACTCATTCAAGGTTTCAGTCTTATAATCGGAATCTTCTGTTTTCTGCTGTCTGGAACTGGAATCAGACACAAATCAGCATACGACAATATAAAGTGTATTAACATAAAATGTAAAGTGTAGCAGAGATACTACAGTGCAGAGAGCCTGATACCTTGGTCAGTATCAGTAGTTCTGCGTTCACTCTGTAACTTTCCTCAGTCTCTCGGTCCTCAGCTGGGCCACCATAACCCTTGTTGGAAACACTGATTAAGACTCTACTGTTAGCTGCTTTAGCTCCACGGTGGCTCACGTTCCATTCAGTTTGCTAATAAACGCTAATTACATTGCTGAATTCGGACCGTAAATAGTGTTAACCAAAACCCAGAAGACATGTGCAGTTGATATATCCTCACAAAGGCTGTAACCTTGTCTCAAAAATAATCAACAGACGTGTTTTTTTTTGTTTGTTTGTTTGTTTGTTTGTTTTTTCCCCACAAAATGTAAATATATTTTTCTGTCGGGACCTAGCCATTCGAGCTAACAATGTTACAACTGGATTCTTCCTCCTCGTTGACCAATGAAAGACAAGTTTCGGAAAGGGCACTTCCCTTTTCAAAGGCGAACCTTTTCAGAATAAAATAACGTGAGTGCTTTTTTTCTATAATTTATTTATTTTAAGACTTTCCCACTGTTTAAATGGAAGTAAACATACATACAAGATATCGTGGATTTATGCCAGCAACTTAATCAAAAAAAAAAAAAAAAAAAAACCCAGTAAACAGTATCAAGATGTTTATGTTTTTTTTTTTCTATTCATGCATTTTAAATGAAAACAGCAGGGTGTAAAAATGGCCCTCTATCCATTTCATTAAAGCGTCATTCAGCTCACTTAACCTGTCCTGTCAGTGCCCCCAAATACCAAAATTGCACATTGTGAATTCGGGGCTTTAAAGTATTAGCATAGCTGTAGAGTGAAGAAATAACTAATTGTTCATGGATTAATAAACTTAGGAGTTATTGTTTATTAAAAGAGGATGAACAGGAATATGTTAGAAATTAGACATGTGACTCAATTCCCTTTAACAGCATCTTTTTAAAAAAATTGATGGAACAACATTAGCACAACTGGATATCTTCAAACAATTATGTAATCAAATTAAATCATATCATGATGTTGACTTGTATCCAAAAAAATCCCAGTTAACATAAAAAAACAAAAACAGATAATTTATTAGAACTCTAGTTGGTTATAAATGAGAAGATTTTGTGATCAACATATTAATTTTCACGAGTAGATGTCACTGTACAATTTTAATATATTGTCCTTTCTAAATCACAATTTAAAAAGTTTGTGATTATTATTTCTTTTTTTTGTTACTTTGTATCTGATGGGCTTTTTTCAGGCGCTTTAATTTAATCTTTATTTTGCTTAAGGGGTTTTCCAATGCGTCGACAATACAGGTAAATAAATCAGAATGTGGCTAAAATCTGAAACAATAGATGAGTCAAAGTGAGACACTTTTTACTAAATCCTTTTATGGTAAGCAGCCTTAGTAGCTTGACAGAAAACTAAATGGTACATCACCATTAACAAGATGATATCTCTAATTCACCCAAATTGCCTTATCACAGAACTTTAAACCATTTTAAGTTTGGTCGGTATCACTGTACAGATTGAAGCAAACTTTGAATCCACTTTGAAAAAAGTTAGACATGAAAAGGCTCGAATCGAACTCGATACATAAGCTTTGAAAAGCCTCAAAGTATTTCTGACAGTGCTTACTTAATTTTAACAATGACACTCATGTTTCTCTATATCTAATGTACTGAAACAGATAGACATTGCATTACCATACAGAACAAAAATATTTTGGTATTCATATAAATTCATTTCAGATTTAAAGATTATAAAGCTAATTCTGAGCACAGGTGTGTCATATTTACAGCTCTGATTTTCTAGACTCTTGATGCAGAATAAATGATAAGGACTCGTTTCCTATCTGGTTAACTGTAGTAAAATAGTAAAATGTTCTTAAAGGAGCAAAACCTCCACCTACTCTGAAACACTCTGCTATGCACGTTTCAAATGTTTCTGCTCCAACACATTTGATTTAAAGGAATAAATTACTTCAACAGCACCTTGTTATGCACTGAAAAAGACTTAGCTTTGAAGCCGACATTTTGAAGACTGACTAAATTTATTACCTGTAGGTTTGTGTGTCATGATAACCATGACACATTATTATGAAGCGGGATAAAATCTTATCAGTTTGTAGAGATGAATCTATGGTGCTACACTTGGATTAACACAGCTGCACCAATTCACCAATCATCCCACATACAAATCACACTGAAACAACACACTGATAATATATGCAGTTGTGAAAATATTAAGCTCGTGAAGGCTATTAAGTGTTACTTTAGTTAATAATAGATGTACGTATTTAAGGTCTATTTTTTTTCTACCCCTGGAACAGAATATAATTTAATTATAGGTAAACAACAAAACCTAACCTTGCTTTACTCATTAAAACAAGATGAACAAAAAAGTGTTTGTCTAGCAGAGGAAAGGTTTAGACCTCTAACCCCTAAATAAATAGTACTAGCCCCTGTAGTTGAAATAACATCAGTGAGGTGCTTTTTAGCCATCCAAGGGCAATTTCACACAACAGGTAAATGCAACCCAAATCAGATTTTTTTTTTGCCCACATGCAACCTATGTAGAATGTACAATAAAAAAAATGGCTAAGTTATATTTGTCATAAGCCTTCTTATACAAAGTCAAGCTGTCTTTATGAATATGAACACCTGTTGAAACCCCTTTACTTTGCTGATCGGTTATTTATAGTCTTTCCTGCATAATTAAAGTTTTTAGTTAGCATTTCCTGCAATTTTAACCAACAATCTAAGGAAATATTTTCACACCGTTAGATTCTAACCACAATGACAAAAACTAAACTTATTCCGCTGTGTGAACGGCAACATGTTTGTTTAGATGCTCTTGTCGCGAAAATCCTCTACAACAAAAGCTACAAACATAAGGCCTTTCTCCTGTGTGGACCCTCATGTGTGTTTTGAGATTGTGCTGAAATCGAAATTTCTCTTCACAAATGTTACAGAAAAATGGTTTCTCTCCCGAGTGTATCCGTGTGTGCACTGTCAGATGGGTCTTTCTACTAAATGTTTTACTACAAACATCACAGGCAAATGGCCTCTCACCCGTGTGGACCCTCATGTGCTGTTTAAGGTTTGCCTTAACATGAAACTGTCTTCCACAATCCTCACAGGAGAATGGTTTCTCCCCAGTGTGACTCCTCATGTGCGCCTTGAGCGCAGGCTTTAAAATAAACGTTTTGCCACAAATATCACAGCTGTGCCCGCTCTCGCCACTGTGAAACAGTTTGTGTTTTCGAGCGTAGGACATATATTTGAAACTTTTCCCACAAATATCACACGGAAACGGTTTTTCTGTAGTGTGAACGACCATGTGTGTCTTTAGAGTTTCTTCTTGTGAAAATGCTTTACTACAAACACCACAAACAAATGGCTTCAGTCCAGAGTGGAGGCTCACGTGCTTTTTAAGAATATATGGACATTTGAATCGTTTTTCACACAGTGTACAATGAAATGGTTTCTCCGCTGAGTGCACCTTCATGTGCATTTTCAGAATCCTCCTTAAATGAAAGGTTTTGCCGCAAACATCACAGCCAAATGGCTTCTCTCCCAAGTGGAGCCTCTTGTGTGCTTGCAGAGCACTGTTTACTATAAACCCTTTGCCGCAAAAATCACAACCATACGGCTTCTCACCTCTGTGAATTTTAAGGTGAACAGTAAGCTGTAAATGCCGTTTGAAGTTTTTACCGCATTCTTCACAGGTAAATGTTTTTTCTTGTTTATGAACCATCATGTGTTTCTCCAGATTTCCCTTTTTGGTAAAATGTGTTCCACAAACATCGCAACAAAACCATTTGCAACTGCCATGGACTGGTGGGGAATCCACATTTTCTTTGACTCCAGGACATTTCTGGTTAACCAGACAGAGGGAAGAGTTTTTTCCTTCCTGAAGAGACAACTTGGAGACAAACTGTTTACCAGACTCTGACTGAGGATCAGGTTCTGATCCTATGTCGGGATCAGAACCTGACAAAGGACCTTGCCAATCATCATCATCAGTGACTTCAGTCACAGAAGAATCCGAAGTAATTTCATCAGTTTTTAACTCAAGGCAGCATTTCAAATATGGTTCTGGTCCTCCACCCTCCTCCCCATCAAGTTCTGTTTTCATCAGATCAGCTGAGCTGCTGGCTGAAGCTTCAGTCTCTTTATTGTCTTCAGTTTTAATGTGATGAAGCTCTGACAACTGAGGTTTCTCATCATCTTCCCCATTCACAGTAGGCTGCCCTCTTGTGTGAGTGATCCACAGTTCCTCTTGTTCCTCCTTTATCTGGAGAAGTTCTAGGGTCTGCTGGTCCGAACTGAAGTTCTGGTGGACAGGGAACACTGACAAACACATGAACATTTAGAATTACTTCTGGTTCATTTACAAGTAAAATATCACAAAGGTTTTGCAATTTTAACAGAAGGAAGTAAGAGAAATACTTCTTCAAAGATATGTCAAACTGTAAACCCATCCCCTTGTATTATGCTATTTTCCTTCATCCAAAACATGAAAACAAGACTTTTCTTTTCAAGCGACATTGCCCAGGAAGGCAACAGCCAGATTTGATGTTAAAACAAAAAGGTAAGCATGCTGCAGAAAGTCTGCATAACCACTAGATGGCAGCATAAGACCAGCTAATATATAAGGCTGGAGAAACAGCTCAGCCCTGTTGTAAGGCTGGCAGGTGAACTGAAACCTAGCCCAGATTTATTTAGTTTTTATAAGATTTCATTACATTGGATTGATAATTGAACATTTACTGATAGCTGGATTAAAATCTCATCTATTAAAAAAACAACAAAGATGTGCAACTGGTAGAAGCCCTCCCCCCCCCACTAAAGTCAATTACATGTTGAGGCTTACTTCATCACTAAATGCTAGTTAAATTTATAATTCTTAAGATGTTAACATTTCAACCTCTACAAGTTTCTTTGTCAGTAAAGCGTATCTTAACAAGAAACCTACTAAAATGTTCTTCAGGACACAGCTGGAGGTCCTTCCAGAAATGTGAAGCTGTTTTTGTAAAAAGCCAGTGTTATTTAAATACACTGACCAATGTACTGTTATTTGCATTGAAATAACAGTACATTTAACATTTTCACATGGAAGCACAATACATGAACATTAAGTTTATGAAAACCTTTCTACACCAAACCAATATTTACACCATTGTACTGCATTCAGGGGCATTATTCATTGCGCCTTTAGGTAAATCTACCTCTGTAACGTGGAAATCATTTTTAAATTATTTACAGTACTGTTATAGTCAGCATTTGCTCACTCTGGATTTTACTTTTCAAAATTCTTGTTTGCAGCTTCACATCTTCAACTGGGTCAAGGTTCCAGCCACATGACCTGAAACTGGAATCACACACAAATCAGAATCTGATCAAAAAAAGTGTATTGATAAGAAATGTAGAGCTGAAGCGATGTTGCAGAGCAGAGTCTGATACCTTGATCAGTAGTTCTGGGTCCACTCTGTAATTAGTCTCGTTGCACTAAATAACGGACATTAAAACCTTCGATGTAAAAACACAGATTAGGTCTCCGCTGTTAGCCACGTTAGCTCCCCGCTGGAAAAAGTCGCGTCGCTTTGCTATTGAAGGCTAATTACATTCTGTAAAGAAAATGCCGGGTGAATGATGGCAGTGGTTTAAAGCAGAACTGAAATCCTCACGAACACGGCCGAGTCAAGAGTGTACAATCTCAGTTACGCACTAATTTTATGTAGACCTGAAGGCGCTTTTCCTCAGTTAGGAAACAGCCTACAAATATAGCGTTGTCACATCCGGTTACTTTCCCCATGCTGACCAATGAATGACAAGTAAAGTTCCGATTCAAAAAGCTACTTCCTCTTACAATTATCAGGTTTTCAGAATTAAACAAATCTTTATAATAAAATTAGTTATTAAACTGCCATGCATTTGTAATTGTTCTAAACAAACATAACTATTTAATTAGTTGTCATTTATATTGCACCAGTTTATAAGAAAGGGTAAGTCACCTTACAGTAAAAATAGATCCAGGTTATAAACACTAAGCTTTATCTTTAGTTCATGAATGTTTTATGATTAATTTTTTGGTCTTATATCTTTAATTTGTCTTATTTTTTACAGCTCTTTGGTTATATGTATTTAAAAAAAACAAAAAACAATACAATTTAGTCTAAACGCAGCTTTCATATATATATTTATTAAATATGTTTTAAACACATTTTTACTGCTTGATTTGTACTGTTGTACAGCATATAATTTTAGTACAGATCACACAAACACACTTGTACTTCTATGCAAACTGAGGGCTTTGTATTTATTCTAGCAACTGCATTTATGTCTTACACAGTCTCCCCCCAAAGTCTTGTCTCTTCCTAGCACCAAACCAGGAAAAGGTCCTCACTTTCCACAAATGAGCACCCTTTGTTGTATTGTGAAATTGGTCCTCTATCTCAGTGTTTCCCAACCCTGGTCCTCAAGGCACACTGTCCTACGAGTTTTAGAGGTTTCCCTGCTTTAACGTGCCTAATTCAA